TTTCTACATAACTTGACATTCAGGATGTTTATTTTCAATATTTCTCCTCATAATATACACACATCAATCATTATTATGCATTTAGCCGATTATTTGTCACAAAGTTGGCAGTTTCCTGTTGAGGTACTAAATTCAGTGCCTGAAATATCATTAAGACTGATTGAAGTCTTATCTGTTATGGAATTGAGTATTTTTTTTGGAGGACGGAGTCTGTCAGCTGTGCTGCATTTCATTGGTTGTTTTGGAGCATGATATTCAAATTTGACCAATGAGGCGAACACATTATTTTACCCCACTCAGACAGAACGCATTAGTGACAATTTGTTTATATTAAAGACCAGTTGTCAACATAGTAATTGTTTAAAAGTTGTCCTAATCAACTGTTTCAGCTGCATCATTTAGTGTGCTTTCAGGGCATTTGACAAAAGAAAGTAAAATTGCTCACCTATGATGAAAACATCTATAGATGATTTATTGCTATTTGTAATCTTAAGATCCATCAATTTTGCCACAAACTGAGTAGGTACGTACCTTATTATAAATGATAAACAATATATGATATTTTTTTTTTGAAAAGCTATGTAAAAACTATATACTTAACTACTAGTATGCCATATTAAAGATGTCTAATGTTTAAACCAGATGTGATTGCACGTGCCTTCTCTTGGTTAAAGTCAGTGTGCTCTGAAAGAAAAACAAAATTACAAAAACATGAAAAGCGAGCAACGAAAGCAGGTCCGAAAAAGAAAGGAGGGTTACCTATGCAGGTCCAGAAATGAAGGAGGTAAGTCCTTAGCAGGTCCAGAAATGAAGGAGGTAACCTTTTCATGTCCAGAAATGAAGGAGGTAACCTTTTCATGTCCAGAAATTAAGGAGGTAACCTTAGCAGGTCCAGAAATGAAGGAGGTAACCTTGGCAGGTCAAGATATGAAGGAGGTAACCTTAGCAGGTCCAAAAATGAAGGGAGTAGACATAGCTGGTCCAGAAATGAAAAAGAGAGTAACCTAAGCAGGTTCCCAGGACCCCAGTAGCCAAACTTATTCTACATGCGTTTCTAAGCTAAAGCATGAGACCAATTGTCAATTTGAAGGGTTTATAACTTACAAGTTGTGTCTGTCTCATTATTATGCCCAGTGTGACCATTTTGATATTGTATTTAGGACACATGAAGCAAGACAGTTTGACAATAGATGTTGACATTTTGTGTCTAGTTATACCTGTAATCCGATACTGACATACATATAGATCTATTTGATAACAAAATAAACAGAAGCTTACATGATTTAAACCTTTACCATGCTAAATATATATAATGGACTTGACTGTCTATGATTTTGGAATGGTTTATTGGTAGTTAAGGATTTTCTTTGGTCAGTTCTTGAATCAAAAAACCAACAGCTTCATAGAGAGGCACGTTAGTCATTTTCATTGCTTGTGAAAGAAATATCTGGCAGACTGTCCTAGATGGTCATTTTCATTGCTTGTTTCTTCTTAGTGCGTGCACCACATGACAAAGTTGTTCACAGTGCAGTCTGCAAGATTTATTATACGGTATATATGTAGTACGTATATATATCATATGACTACTTATGTTATATATATACCATTGAACAAGTACTTGAGAAAAAAAAATCAGATCAAAGCATGCAAAGTTTTAAGAATGCCCTACTTCACATGCAGTATCTGCATGAGAAGTAAATGAGGGGGAAAATATTGTAGGAATTGATTATTATGATCCTCAGATAAGTGAGAAAAGAAATTTCTTAATGTAGTTTTCAGGATTCAAGTAGCATTCCCACATACCCCTGTATTGTGATACTTTATCACCAAATTTGCCTTCATTCAGGATTAAAGTTATAATATAATTCATTATTTGACCAAGATGGTGAAAAATTTTAAGAAAAACTACCCCCTAGTTAAAATTTTTTATTTGGACCCTTTTCAGTTCTCCCAGATTTGAAGTCATAATCTATTGTCTGGGACTGTTAAAAATTCAAGTAAAAATGTTTCTTTACTGCCTGGGTTGTATAATTATACTAGTGGTCTCATTGGCGGGAAGCTAAGTGCGGCAGCTCTCAGAAAACAGAAACATTTTAGGTCACTGTTACTTTATTTAACCTAACACATGATCATGGGCTGCATTTTCCTCTAACATGAAAATCCACTTGAATCAAGTACACCAGGGGGAACTTATACATGAACTGTAAAGAATGTGTAATTATTCTACTAATTTTCACAAAAGGTCATACAGTGAGAATCAAATCAAATTACATAATTATTTTCATGTTCAATATATATATATATATATACACTATAGTAATTGCAAAATGATTTCCTTTTTAGCTCGACTTTTCTATGAAAAGGGGAGCTATCCTACTCGCCCCGGCGTCGGCGTCGGCGTTGGCGTCACACCTTGGTTAAGTTTTTCGTACCACCCCACTTTATTTCAGAAGTATTACAAGTATGGCTTTGAAACTTACCATACTTGTTCACCATCATAACCTCCATCTACAGACAAGAGTACATAACTCTGTCAAGGTTTTTGACAGAATTATGGCCCTTTTTTGACTTAGAAAGTGTATTGAGCTTGGTTAAGTTTTTTGTACCACCTCACTTTATTTCAAAACCATTGGAGGTATTGCTTTGAAACTGACCATACTTGTTTACCATCACGACCTTCATCAACAGACAAGAGGACATAACTCTGTCAAGGTTTTTGACAGAATTATGCCCCTTTTTGACTTAGAAAATACATTGAATATGGGTAAAATCCACTTATTGCCTTAACCCTTTGAGATATTGCTTTGAAACTTTTAATGCTATTTCACATCATTACCCCCATCTGTACGCAAGAGAAGGTAACTCTGTCAAGGATTTGTTTTAAAAATTAAGGCCTTTTATCGACTTAGAATCTTGGTTAAGTTTTTAGTACCAGTCCACTTTTTGACTGAACTGTTTGAGATATTAATTTGAAAGTTGGAATACTTGTTTACAATCATGATTCCCAAACATGTCCAGGAGAAGGTAATTCTGTCAAAGATTTTATTTGAATTATGGCCCTTAACTGTCAATGTTTTGTATTATAGGCAAGCACTAAAAAACTTAAAAAATCTAAAAAAATTCATTCCTATCCACTTGTTCACTTTACCATAAATTATGTCATATAAACATTGCTGTAATATTCAAGGGTATCAAACAACTAGTTCACTTTAAAAATACAGAGATTCTTGTATTGCCTTTTACTGCAAAAACTTTTTTTATTGGCAAGCAATAAAAAAGTCGAGCGCGCTGTCTTACGGACAGCTCTTGTTTTATCTGATGTAGGTATACATTGTATATCAATTTTGTAGTAATTATTTCTTGTACAAAACTTTTTACAATTATTTTGTCAATTTTAAGTGCCACGAACTTAATGAAGGCCACTGGAATACATTGAACTGTATGCTTGTTTCGAACAGAGATCAAAATCTTACATTGATCTCATGAAAAAAAGTATTATCTTGAAGATTTTATCAATGAAATAGGGTGGTTTATTTTGGGTTTAAATGTCTGTACTTAAGACTTTGTTCTTGGTATGTTAAGTTTATAATACAATATGTTAAAGACCAATCTCGATGTACTTTATTGTGTGAATTTTCAATGGAAATTGTTAAAAGTAAAACAGACCACAAGTTAATTTTACCCCCTCCCCCAGTAAAGGAAGAGTTTGTTAATCTAAGTCCTCAGGTTGCTTTGATACAGTTTCTTGTTTCTACAAGACAGTTTGGCTGAAGATAATTGATAAATTTTCTCATAATTTACTGATTTGAATGATTCATTAAACATGTATATGGAGAAGTTTGAAGGTAGTCTTGAAAGTTAGTAGCACTGTCTTAGTCATGATTTAACCATTAAAACTGAAGGAACTGAAAGTGATTAGTTTTTGCCATAAGTATAGAGCCACACCAGCCTGCACATCCATGCAGTCTCAGAGCAGCCTATATATTGATGGTTGCTCAATTGTTTTGCAAAATTCATATTGAAATTCCTTAGACTTTGAACTGCATGACTTCAGGGCAAGTCTAGTATATAAATTAAGGGTCATTAGGAGTCTGCCATTCAATTTACTGGTTGCAAGTTCAAGCCCTATACTAGGAGTGCATGCTTATTGAGTCTAATTAAAATATGTATGATAATTTTAATAAGTATGATCAGTCGAAACCTGCAAAAAATCAGTAAAAGCTGTACACTTGTTTTAGTATATGTGTCTTACACTTGTTTTAGTACATGTTTTTATCTTACACTTGTTTAAGTACATGTATCTTAAACTTGTTTTAGTACATGTATCTGGTATATTTCATACAACTGAAATACTAAAGCCCACACTGAAGAAGATATGTTTTATAGACAGTTGTAGGTCTTTAAACGTTGACATGTTTGTGAATTGTTATCAGTAGAAGTGCAAGGGTGTTTGGCACCTTGTCTGTGTATTTTTATATCAATTTATCATATATTTTAAGGCTATTAAAAGATTGTATTTGAATTTGTCACTGTATGTTTAACAGCCTAAGGAAATCAAGTAGACATTGTGAAAATAGGATTTAGATTTATCTTGGCACCTTTTACCCAATATTTCACATTTCAGTTGATATAAGTTAAAAATTCCTTCTCTAATATGTTTATGGGTATTGCTGATTATGATTTAATCAATGTTAATAGTTTTACTGTAAAGGCTTAGAACGAGTCTTGTATCTATATATAGTAGCTTGCAAAACCCTTAATCATTTAGCTAAAACCCATAACTATTAACATTCAAAGAGTGATTTGAGTCAACATGTACTTCATCATTGTATATTGTTAATGAATACTTCATTCACAGCACATTCATGCACATTAACCTGACTTCCAGTCCTTACTTAATAAAGACTACAATACTATATATTTGTACATGAAATGTTCCTATTTTATAATAATCATTAATGTTACTTTCATCGAACTGACAAACTTCAGTTATATAACATTATACTTTGAGTCTATATTTTGTTATCCTATATATTTTCAGGGGCAACAAAAGAACTGGGAACCGCCCTGACCAGACTCTGTATGAGACACAAATCTATTGAATCCAAGCTGAAAAAATTCACAGGGTAAGTGATTTACAAGGAAACTGTTGCTGTAACTGTGATGTCTGTTTTGCAGGACTTTGCATTATGACTGGTCAAGTTGAACTGAAGTTTTACTGATGGAAAAACCCTTAAAAAATTCTCCAATCTATGTTCAGCATACAGGGAGTAGATCGTTACCCACCCTTCATGATAGTAAATCAACCATTTGTTCACATTGGGTCACTATATAAAGGTCAAGGTCACATGGGCCTTAAATGTCTCATTATCTTGAAATCTGTTTATCACATAGTCTTCATTATTTTTTATTTTTTTCCATAATTGAACACTTCCATTTACCCATTTATGGCAAGTTTCTATTAATGTGAGTCAAGGGCATATGTGTTGTTCGACATTTCTTGTTCTAAAGGTGTTTAGTTCGTGAAGTGACAACAAGAAGCTCCTCATTGGTGCTCAATCACAATATTATAATTTCCGACAAAATTTATTTGCCGATTTTCTATATGAACATGTTCATGACTTGAATTGTTTATGTTTGTGAAGTTCTACAGTGTTTCCTTCTTAAATATAAGGTCATTTTCAATTCCCCTATGCAAAAAGGAATGATTTTTCACAATTAAATAACTTTAAAATATAATGCTTACATAAGCTTTTTTTCTCCCTATCGGTGACATTTTGTGGCTAATTAGCATTTAATGAAATTGAGCTCCATGTAAGAAGATGCTGAATGGTTATATTTGAATAAAGTCAGAAATTTAATGATTGTTAAACTTACATATTAACTTCTCATTACGAACTTTAATGCATTAATTTCTTGTATGAAACGGGCAGGTATTGGGCAGGTATTGGCTTAAGTTACATGATTAGTAAGTTTAAATGGTATAATGAATGTTGAAGGGGATTTAGATTAAAGATGTATAACAAAGAAATAGGTCATTTTTGAAAAAGAATAGGCCATTTTAACATGGTTTGAGGACATTATTTTTTTGTAATTTTTAGCATATAGTAATGAGCATTATGATTATTTCATAGATGTATAATTATTAGAAAGCAATATATGCCGTAATGCCTACGATACATTTTCTCTAAACCTGCTAAATTTGTGTAATGGATTGTCCTCCTTTGAATTGGGAACAGTCCATTACAAGTGAAAGGGATTTCAAAATCTTAATAAAAAACTTGAGCTTAATACAAAACTTGAGCTACCAACTGTATAGAGCCTGGAAAAGTATAGGAAAAGCATTACAAGGACAGGGTAAAATCAAGAAGTAAATGACTCCCAAACTTTCAATAATGGAAGCCCTGGTGATCCCAGATGCAGACATAATTTAAATTAAGCTGTTCACTCAGTACCTATGAACATACAGGAGTTGACATGATACATGTTTTATTATGTCTCACTACTAAAGGCGTTGATAGGTGCATATTATAGATTTGCCTTTGTCTGTCGTGCTGTCCGTCCACACAACCGAATAGTGATAGGGGGCCAGCTTGCTGTAAACAGAATAACAGAGTTCATTCTGTTACAATTGAGGAATTAGCCAATGGCCCTCTATTAAACAAAACTGCTGATTCAGTTGATTTCTGAATGAGCAAATGTCAAAGAAAAAGGTGCAGGAAACAGGTCTGTGCACATTAAGGATTATTTTTAACGTTACTGCCGGTACATGACTGAAATACTGTTGAAAAAAAATCCAAATAAAGTTTACTTATTCTTGATATGAAATCTTGATTATTATTATTAGATTATTATAATAGAACATCATTTATATGTTTATTATGTATCATCATTTGCTAGTTAACGTTCAAACACCAGTTAGCATATTGACCTCGGTTATTATATAAACTTTTCTATGTAACAACACACCTGGAATTATCACAATCATGTTCCGAATTATAATGTAACACACATGTACTAATGTAACACACATGTACAACAGCAGCTGGAATTTGAATGAAGCGAAATTTTAATTTTAAAAAAATTGATCGCAAAAGTGAAGAGGAAAGAATGACTCGTCACTTTTGATTGCAGCACAAAAAGGGTCAAGACAAACAAAAATATTAAATATATCTTTTGAATTGTGATATTCTATGAGAAATGGTTAAATGGTTACACTTTTGTCTTGTTTTTATTTCAGATCAATTTTAGATAATCTAGTCAACCCATTACAAGAATGTATGGAAGATTGGAAGAAAACCGTGGTACAGTTAGACAAGGAACATGCAAAAGGTATATCACATTAGCCTCATGATGGCAAAATTTTTACCCTCGCGACAAGTACAAACCATGATGGTCACTGCACTGTTTGCTATTCAGTCAGTACTGACTATTAAATTTCCCCCCAAAAAATAATGTGTGTTTTGTTCAGGTTGAAAAATGGACTTCACAAGTTCATTTAAGATATTTAGTTAGGTTAGGGTTAATATAAATAATATAAATATGTGACACACATTTTGTATATTTAATTTGTTGGTAAAATTATGTTTTAATTTACACCAACCATTATAATTTTTACAAGAATCACTTGTTTTTGGGTTTTTTTACAATGTTTGGCTATACATTGCATGTTAAATAGATGACAATATCCATTTCAACCACCCCCTATCTGTCTTGTAACTTTTCACATGTCTATATTTGGAAACTGTATTCTGTACGAAGTTGAATTATTTGGAAATCTCAAGCGAATGAATGATTTGATGTGCGGTAGACTGGTTTCAATTGCCAATTTCCACGCGTTCACATTGCCTGGCTGACTACATTCAGTCATTAATTGATATCCCATGTTCAAAAGAGTAATCCTGTTTATTTCCTATATATCCCATGTGTAAACAATTGATGGAAAACCTGCTATTTTCAACATACCAACAAAACCAGTGTGTTTTGCATTTTCTCTTTGTGGTAGATCTGTTTAATTACCTCTTGTTATTTACAATCTCTTTTTTTTTTCTGAACTGCCTGACCTACAAATACACTGCTATAGTTAGTTTTTAAGAAATTTTACATGTAATTTTACAATAAATCTATTGAAAAAACAAATTAAATGATTATTAATTATAATGATGATAATATTGATGATGGTGATGATGACAACAATGTTAGTGTTGGTATAGATGCTGATTTTGCTGCTGCTGATGATGATGATGATGATGATGTTGATTATTATGATGATGATGTTGATAATGATGATGATGATGATAGATGATCAGTGATTTTCCCCCTATTAAAAGCCTCATTCCAATTGAAATTTTCTTTAAAATCCCAAAAATTTGAAATTTCTCTAGCTTTTTTACTTCCCAAATTAGCAATTGTAGCGATAATTTTCCCCAAAACCAAGATGCTAAGGCCTTTTCCCAATTTAGTGAGTAAAAAAAATCACCGGATGATGATGATGGTGATGATGATGATGATGATGATGATTTCTTCTTTTAACTCAGAATATTCATATTGAAGGCTAATAAAATACTGTATTACTATAAAGGCAATATTCTTGACCATGTTAATTGTTTTTAGATTACAAACGAGCCAAACAGGATATCAAGAAGTGTGCTGCAGATACTGTCCGTCTTCAAAAGAAGGTCAAGAAAGGTAAGCATTGTCCATAAAATATATTACATTTATTTTATGGTTTATAATACCCAGACTAGGAGTTTATGAATCATCCACTCCAGGAAAAGATGCAATTTAGTGCTTTAAAAATGAAAGATGCTTTAACCTAGAAAAAAAGAATGTTTTTCCCATGTTGGCAACCTGTTAGATATTATAGAATTTAGAATATTTGATTAGAATATAGAAAAGTTAGACCCTTTTATGTATTTAGTCAGTGAGAAGCTATTCTTTAAGTTGATTAAATTTGATTTCAAAGATAAACTCTGTTTTATTCAGTTGTATCTTTAGTACAATTCATTGAGATTTATTTTGCCATTTGATTTGATTTATTATTATATTAGTTTTAAAATGATAGAAAAATGGCCAGAAATAATGTTACATTAGAATTTGAGTTTTTATTTGCTGCTATCATTTTGATAAGTTTGCTTTATATGTTTTTCAATGTGGAAGCTTTTTTGTTATCAGTGAAAGGCTCAGAGGCATCCTTCCAGATATTGTCTGATTTTTCCCCTATCATGTATATTATGTTTTCATGTCATTGTATTTTATCTTTTGTTTTCTTTCAGTCTTTCAATTTAAGCCCATTTTTATCTCTTTTCTGTCAGTTTGGGTCCATCTTTTAACTTAACTATTCACAATAAAAGGAGTGCTGTTATAGTTATACTCGCCAAGGGGTCAGCATTACTGTCACACTTTTGTTAAGTTTTTGCTTACAATTTTGGGATCTACAATGGGAAAACTTTAGCACCTTAATTTCCCTGATTTTAAACAAGGGCAAGGGACCTAACTCTAAAATTATTTTTTAAGGGGGTTAGCCCCTTTCTTACTGCAAACCCCGAGAATAGTTTATGCATTGCCTATTGAACAGCTCTTGTAATTTTTCCAAACCAGCCACTTAGATAATTTTTGTTTGAAGTTAAATTGAAAATCCTTCTTCTTTTCAGTTTCTACCTTAATGATATAAATGGTACAAAAATGTGTAAATTTAACACAACATTGAAGTAATATTTTCTATGTACATTGAATGTTAAATTATTAACTATTTAGAAAAATGTTAACCAGTCAAGTATTACGTAGTAATTTAATGTCTGGCTAAACATGAGAAATGAATTTTACGAAATAACACATCATTATGAGACTATGTATGTATGAACTAATATTATGTGGTGAAATCAATAAATAAAATCAGTTCATGATGAGCCCACACGATTTTGACACAAAGTACATTTTGGAGTGTTCAGTATTAATATACATAATCATTATTTACTTTATAAGTTTAGAATGTTGGGTGGGAAGTACTTTCACCGCAAAATATCTTCAGCAATTTTTTTCTTAACAAGAAAAAGGAAGAAAGAAAACAAACAAACAGGCAAACAAAAAACACTTTTATACCAACAAGTATTTGATACTGGGGTTAAAAAATAAATCTTTTGCTTTAACTACTTTACTTCTCTGTAACAAAATTTAAATCTAAGTGGTATTAAAGACATGTTTATGGCTGGAAATGGAGGGATACTTAAGATTTTCATGGTTGTGGATGGCGGCAATATACTGTAGAAGAATACATTTTAAAAAGTTTCTAAAGGAAACCCATGTTATTTTAGATCCTTGGATTTTCAGTCATACCATCACTTGAATATCTCCATCGTAACTTTTTTGAGGAAGAATGCAGTTGCCCCTCTGTATTTCAGACATGTCTAAGCACCAAAATATACCACCTTTCTGTTAGTTGCAAGAGAATAGAAAATATATCAATGAATTATAGACGCGAGTAAGGCAGTTAGGAATCATATTCCTCCATTATTTTAAGAAACTGAGAAGAAACATTGTACAGGTGTTTATATTGTAAATATTATGTAACCAGCTCAATATTTTCAATTTTTAATACCCCAGCTTTCTCTGTGCATTAAAAACCTTTCATCACATGTGAAAAGAATCAGTTTTTGTTGGTATGGTATTTAGTTGGGGGTATTTATTGAATGTTACACAACATAAAGTATAAATATTGATGTAATACAGGAGATAGAAATTACCAGTGAGACACGATTACTGGGCATGTTCTCATATCTTGTATTCTTGTGGGGAAAATGAATATTAAATTGAATATCATTAATTTCTTGAAATGAAGTGGGTTTGAGTAGTTCATGTTACAGATACATTGCATGAAAAAAAATGTGCATTTTTAGCACTGACTGAACCCCATGAAGATTGTTTTTCATCCACAGTTTTTTTTCTTTTTTAGAAATAAGTGATGTAGAAATTATTTCTGACTTTATGGGATGCCTGTGTGCATAAAATGATACACGCAAGGACGTCTTTTAGTCTTAAGTGAGACGGTTGAGGGGTTGCCTTTAAGGGTTACGGCATCAAAATTGCCACCCCTATTTATCCCTGCGTGATCATAAGAGTTGTAGGAGGCAACTAAATAGGTTTGAATTACAGGAGTCTATCCAGCAGGTGAGGTGGTTTTGACCCCTGGTGTTGCTTTGAAGTTAGTAACACCGGAGGTTAAGCAAAGTCATCTTTCCTGTTTTGGTGCACACAACCTATATTGTGTTGGTAAAATCAAACGAATGACCTTTTTATAAATAGTGTGGACTGGATATGACAATAAATAAGAAATTGAAATGCACACTCATGATTAGGTTAATACTAGGAAATAATATCAGAATTTTTTTTTTAACAAGGCTGTCCTGGATTATGAAGTTGAAACAAGATTGATGAACACACTATCTGATATACTGGAATATTAAATGATAGACTGTATCTATGTAGGTCATTATATTCTGGCAAATTGTGGGCTAGTTATGTACTCTGAAGTGTAACATAACAGATCAAAACATGTTACATTAAAAAAATGAAATTTGTTATCCTTAAAAAAGTGCCGATGCTAGGCAATAAAATGTTGATTAATAACATTCCTGTCTGCAATAACGTCATGAACGCACTTTGTTTTTTATTTAATTACTTAATTTAAGTAGTAATATAGTCTAGAAAATGCCTGGATGCAGTATGTTTATATGTACCAGAAGCTCATTTAACTGCAGTAAACTGTACCTTGACACAAAACCTTGCTCCTGTTAAAATATAAACAAGACAGACAATATGTAACTGTAAGCAGAACATTCTATTCTAGTTACCATAACCACCATAGGGATGTCTGTTCTGGAATGTATGTAAATTAATTTTACGATGCTACCCCATAGGTCCGGTCCCGTTCTTGATCTCCAGAAAAGTGATTTTTCTGGTTCCTTTAATGTTTGTCTATACTGGGAGATAGATGGTCTGTCAAACAAGAATTCTGAACTCCTGCCAGGAATCAATCTTACAGCTTATAGGTGGAATAAATCAGCTTTTTATGGATGGAAATGATGAGATATTACAGAATATTGATGATCGTTGAAAAAAAAAAAAGAAAATCAGAAAACATCTGCTTAAAAATGTTTTACCCATCTTATAATTATGAGGTTTGTCCGGTTGTAGGTTTTATAGATTCTTTTGAATCAACACAATTCCAATGTAATGTGGGGAAAAAAAAGAAGGAAAATCAGTTTCATTAGTTCTGTATCCAAGTGATTTCACTTTTCCAGAATGTATTCATTGCAATATTATGATTTATTCAAAATTCAACTTTTTTTTAATCTATGGTATTAACTTGTACAGACAGTCATCTTCAGCTGAGGGGAAGATTTATAATTCTAATAGTTGCACAGAATATTGCCTTACATTTTTCTCTTGCCCTGTCTGTCCTTTTAATATTTTAGGTGGGAAAATCATATTTAAGAAAGTTTGTTTAGCTTTTATTTACAAACCTTTTAGTGCAAAAAAAAACCAACAATACAAAACAGCACAACATAGTTTATCTTTGATAAATTTTTTCACGAAGAATCAATCATATGATATTGATTGGTAATTCCTAACATGGTCTGTAATGAAATCAGGTCTTGGAGCAAATAAATTGCTGATGATAAGTGGAACATTAATGATAGCCGGCTGAAGTTGTATATTACTTCCTGAGAAAATTTATATCCTTTTAAACATGGTGTTTAACACATCCAGACTTCTTGCTGAATTCTGCTGATACTTCCTCCTAAAACATTGATGATTCTGGGAGAAGTTAAAGTGATAATTCCTCATACTTGATAGTACACAAATGATGCTTCATAAAATGTGAGAGGAACTTCTTGATTTACGAATGATATTTATTGATCCACAAATGATACTTATTAATATACAAATGATACTTATTGATCCACAAATGATACTTCTTGGTCCGCAAATGATACTTATTAATATACAAATGATACTTATTAATATACAAATGATACTTCTTGGTCTGCAAATGATACTTATTGATACACAAAAACTTATTAATATACAAATGATACTTCTTGGTCCACAAATGATACTTATTGATACACAAAGACTTATTAATATACAAATGATACTTCTTGGTCCGCAAATGATACTTATTGATACACAAAAACTTATTAATATACAAATGATACTTCTTGGTACGCAAATGATACTTATTGATACACAAAATGATACTTCTTGATAAACAAATAATATTGATGATACTTTTTGATAAACAAATGATACTTCTTTAAGTACGGGATAAATTTTTGATTTTTAAACAACACATTTTGCTTTATCAATGATTCTTGCAATTATTGATTAACAAACTAATGTAATTCTTTATCTATAAACACAAATGATACATGTTCAAGCAATGTTTTAACTTGACGATAAACAAATGATACATCTTTGAATTAATGTATGATTTATATGCTGTGTCGATGCACAAATGATACTCTTTCAACACAAATGATATGTCTTTGAATAAATGTATGATTAATATTCTGTGATGCAGAAATTTCAACACATATGATAACATCTTTGAATAATGTACTATTTAAATGCTGCGATGCTCAAATGATACTTAAATGTAAATCACAAATGGTGCATCTTCAATTTAAGATTAAAATTTCATGATTAAAATTTCATGATACACATGGGATCATTCTCTGTTTCTTAAGTGCATGAAAGTTTTTCTTTTAACTGCTTATACAAGTACCAGCAATACTTACTAGAAGAATATTGATGCTACATAAACAAGAATCGCATTTCATGAAATAAAAATGTTAATTCTCTATGGAAACGAAAATTCTGTGTACACAAATGATATTTCTTGGAAGGAAAAAATGTCTCGAGATTACAGGGAGTGGGTGTAATTATATGATGCTGGCCGTCACATTTCAGGCTTCATTAGTCTTATCAATAAATAGTCTATGTTTTATAGATAATTAACAGTTGTAAAAGCTCATTTGCCTGCAAATGAAATACGTGCAGTCTAATAAAACTTGATAAAGCTTGTTAGTGAAACTGCAACTTATTTTTAACATTAACTTAGATTGATGCTTACCAGATCATGAAAGTACTAATCATTTTCTACTGGTTGACATTTAAATACCTAGTGAAGTATATTCTCAGATTAGGCAAGGGAAAGAGGCCTTGATCAATTTCACTGATGTTGTTCCCCCTTAATTTCCTGTCACTTTTGCCATTTCAGTCTAATTTTATAGGAATTATCATTTTAGCTTAAATAATAATTCTAAGAATAGGGACAGCTTTTTTACTCACCCCAGTTTTGGAATCTGCATCACATTTTGGTTAAGTTTATTTGTGCAAGTTGGTATCTCCAAAATTACTGAAGAGTTCACACACTAATAGTCACTTGTTCTCTGTGATTATCTAACATGATGGGCACAGGTCACATAACTCTGAGTAACATTTTTACAGAGTTATGCTTTTCTTACTATCAAGCACTGATTAAAGTCTTTTTAATGACAGCATTAAAAAAAATAAATATGTATAGATCAGAGTACAGCCCGAAATATAATGTACTTTTGCAGAGTGATGGCCCTTGTACTTGAAACATATACAATCAATCAACATCTGTTCAAATAGTGTAAAGTGTATAGAAATACATCTTTTCATTATGTTTCAATGTGTTAAACCTTTAAAATTGATATAGTTAACTCTTTCTTTATTACAGATTTTTGATTTAGCAACACCATTCTTATAGATAGATAATGTTTTTATTTTGTTGTCATGTTTTCCAGCACTCCTGACACTGGCACTGTCGCAGCTTATCAATATTCTATTCCCGTCTTTTTCTGATCATCAGGTTTATTGTCTGCAGTACTGGCAGAATCTTGCAAAAACTGCAAAATGAAATGATAGAAATTTCCTTTCTTTATTTTAAAACACTTTGAGTACGAATAATTTTGAGTATGAACTGTATTTTTTTCTACAGCTGCAGCGAATGGATCAGTTCCCACTTCACCACTCTGGTTTGACGAAGGCATGTTGTTACTTTGTACAATGTTTCAACATTAATATGATTAAATTGTACACCAGTTTTCTTGTAATGTTGTTTAATGTCCACTGCTTGAAGGCAACAATGAAAATGTTACTTGAGGGGATAATCGATACATTTAGATATTTTAAAGTATAGGCCGGGACAGTTTATGAATGTTTGATATAGGATATTCAGATTTATACATGTATATGCCAAGATACATCAAACGGGTCATTTTAATATGGCGCAAAATTTGCTAGACTTGAAATAAAACAAGTGTTTTAGGTCAAAACAACAAAAGCCAAAAAGGATTCTTACAGAATGGAGATAAACAGACCTATAATGGGTTAGTTAAGATATATGGGCTGTTAATTTTTTCTGAAGATTTGGACAAAGTTCTTTACTAATCATCTGATTAAAAGTGATCAAAAGATCAAAACAAATCCAAATTTGTTATCAAAGTGGTAACATTATTATTTAACGGTGAATTACATGCGTATTATTGTTAAAATAGAGATTAAGAAATGACCTTAAATAAGGACATATATCTTTGCCTTCAAGTGTGGACAAAACGTTGGTTTTTTTATTTGAAACAAGAAAAAAGACAAATAAATTTCTTCATGCTAACCAAGAGAAAACACTGCATGATTTTAACAAAGACTGCACCTTTATTTTAATATGTGTTGAAAGAGAAATTTGAGGTCAATAAAATAATGGTGAGACAAAGTAGATACTAAATCATTTAAGCAAGGAACATTTATTTGCGGGACAAATAGTATAACGTTTGTTTTATATATAAGTTATAGGTAAATTATTTAATTATTAGATAGAGCGTTTATTTTGGAGATGGGCAGTTTTAGGGAAGGGTTTACTGGTTTTTTTTATAGAAAATGTTTTCCTCATTGTTTTGCATGATGGAAAGTGTTGTATCGTTGACCTTGTATATATTCCACTCTTGCTCTTTCTGTGGTATGCCTATCTGTCTCTTGCTTACAGTTTAAATGGCTGTTTATCCCTATACCTGCTGTATTTATTTAATGGATTTGCCCAACTTTATGAAGTTGAAACAGTCCATTCAAAGTTGGAGGGGTTTCAATATCATAGTACAAAGAATGTGCTACCAACAGTATAGAGCCTGGCCAGACTGACTGAATGGATGTGCAGGCTGGCCTGGCTCTATACTGGTGGCAAAGGCTTATCACTTTTGGTTCCAGCAGAATAAAGGGTCAAGAATTGTATTATATTGTGAAAGGCTGGTCAGCATATTGCTTTTTTTTTGTTCCCTGCATTACAAACCCAGGGGTTTTATCATAACACTGAAAAATAACAGTGATGTGGAAAAAACCGGTGATCAATATTTGCTTAGTTTATTTTTTATGTTTGAAATAGATGTTTGCTTCATATCTGTTTTTGCAAATCATATTTCTCATGTATTTTATTATAATACAAAAATAACTTTATGAGCAGAGACAATTTTAATTTATTTAATCTTCTTTCTGTGTAAAGTCCGGCAATATTGCCTTCAATATGGCCAAGGGGATGAAACACCTTAGAATGAGGGTGTATTGTTACGCCCTTTTCTTTTTTTGTCCAGCTACAACCCCCACCTCACCCTCCTGCCGCCAGCCCACCCAGTTGATTTTTTAGCCAAATTTCTATTTTAGTCTTGTTGTAATGTTTAAAAAAAAAATTTCTGTGTGTATTTAGGTTTTTTTTAGGATTCTTTTTTAAAGAAATTGAAATCTTGGTATTAGGTTGGTGACGGACAGTTTGGAATTAACAATCTCTTCAGAACGCAACTCATTCTACAGGGTTTTCAACCACGCCCATGGAATGATTGTCATCTAGTGTCCTGGTGCATATTGTTTGAATTTTATGATTTGTCAATTTTTGGCAGAGTTATTGCCCTTTGTATTTTTTTCATGCGTTAATGTCCGCAGAAAATCTGGATTTGGGACACTTTCCTTTGACTTGATAAATAAATAAATAAACAAACAGGGAATGCTGTTATTTAAAATGACTTGCCCATGTCACATTGATATGATAACCTTGGGGTTTTTGTTTATTTTGAATGGGGGGAATGAGTTGTAACAATTTTCCTCCCAAGTTATTCATGTATGAAAGTTGTCATCATTGAGCTGTTACATTTAAAAATATTACTTTGCATGGCAAGTTATTGTGATATTTGTAATGGAAAATGTAACCAGGAAAATATGAATGTTGAATTTAATATCACATATTCATATATATTCTTACATAAGCACCATTTAATGAATGATTTTAATATGTTTCTATATTAAATTTTCACCATGTTTGTGCATAACCCATAATGTACAATTCCGATATTTTGTTATTGCTATGCTTTGTTGTAGTTGAGAAATTGCAAAAATAGTTCAAATTCAGTTTTGTTCATTTTAGTTGAGTTTTGTAGAACTTTCTTTTATAGTTTGTTCTTTTATGTTTACTTAATATAATGTATATATTTATGTTGTAGATAATTTATACTTTCCTGTATTTAATTTTCTCTTCCTTACATATTGAAAGAACCTTTTAATAACTGTTATTGGCAGATAATTTACATTGGCAAAGTGCTTGTAATGCTTATGCATCACATATAAAGTTACACATTCTCTAGCACATGTTAAATACATCACTAATTAGTTTATTAATTAAAAAGCAAAAATGGCTGACAAATTCCCCGACATCTGGAATAATGCAAGTCCATTCTTGCTGAAGGAAAACAACAAACATTTAAATCATCTTTTCTCTAAGCACTTTTTTGTTTCCAGAGATATGTAAGAATATTTTCTGGATTTTAGTGTGTTTTTTGTTTTTGTAAATGTCAAGGTCACAAGACTGACAAGGTCATTGTTTCTATTTATAGGCAAGCAGGATATGCAGAGTAGATTGGACAATGCGATGCAGGAAGTGAATGAGAAATACATCCTCCTAGAGGATCAAGAGAAGAAGTCGGTCCGTACAGCCCTCGTGGAGGAGAGGGGAAGATTCTGCCATTTTGTTGCCTGCCTGAAGCCATTTGTAGTATGTATTTTAAAAAAAAAAATCGCAACAGCAACAAAAAAGCAGCCAAAAAACCCAGATTTTATGTGTATTTACAATCATAGAATAACTTATTATACAAATAGAATATAAAATTTTAAATAGTTTAAACATGAATTATCTAATTTTGATTATGAAAAATGCTTGTAGCTTATTTGAGCAACTTTTTAAAGCCTCAGTCTCACTTACTCCCGGCAGAGCCCAGGATCATCCCGGTAAGTTACCGGGACGATCCGGGGTGAAATTATTGTTGCGGTCACACTTACCCCGGCAGCACTACGGTAGTTCTCAACTAACCACCCAGGATGCGCTCCGGATCATCCAGGCAGAGCCCAGGTGCAGCTACTGTTCATGCCGGTGCTTCCGCGGTCGTTCCCGAATGACGCCGGAAGAGCCCCGGTTGACCAAGGCAGAGCCCCGGTCGATCCAGGCAGAGCCCCGGCAGAGCCCAGGACGATCCAGGCAGAGCCCCGGTAGAACCCCGGTGGATTGAAAACGCCCGAAAATGATAACATTGATACATAATTTTTATTTAATATAATATCTATTGTTCCAGAATAGTTATTCATGATGATTTTCTGAAAAATCCTGATGCCATACTGGATAGAAGGGAAATGAGAGGGGTTTAAATACAAGCAAGTGCAATCATCGCAAATTGTCGTTATTCTTTTGAAATGATCCGGGCTTTGCCGGGGCTCTACCGGGATCAACCGTAGCTCTACCTTTATCATCTGGGGCTCTGCCTGTAGTTGCCGGGGCTCTGCCGGCATTTTCCGGGGCTCTACCGTAGCTCTACCGGCTATATCATACCCCGGATCATCCCCGGTTTGTGCCGGCAGAGCTACGGTGCTTCCCCGGTATAACCCCGGTCGTTCCCGGCAGAGCTAAGGATGAAGCCGGCAAAGCTATACCTTCCCGGATCATCCCGGACCACCCCGGTGATATTAAATATTTTATTCCATCCGGGATCGAATGCCGGATGTTCCCGGATCATCCCGGATTATCCCGGATCATCCAGGACGTTGCCGGCAGAGTTACGGATGTACTCCGGTTGTTCCCGGTCGTACCCCGGTCGTTCCCGGATCACCCCGGACGTCTGCCGGGGCTCTGCCGGGATGCAAGTGAGACTGTAGCTTAAGTCTGCTTCCTAGCAGTGTCATATGAGGAAACATGGATGTGGCCCCTCAGTAGGGCTTCAAACCCATAATCTTGATAAGCAGATACCTTAACCACTAGGCCATTGCTCACTTTTTTTATGTGATTATTTTTATGTCCAGTTTCGACCACTGACAATATGATGTTTCTTTATAAATCATCAATCTCTCTTTAACAGTACAGTAATTTTCTTGAAAAGATTCAAGGCCTAATGCTATGTAGTAGATAGTTTTATCTAATCTTTACTATGGCTTAATGAAATAATTTAATCAGGAATATAGTTATCTATCTGCATGACCTTGGCCGGTTATAGAGGTAGCTTTTTAAAAACATTTATCCAAGTAATAGAAATATGTGAAATGAGATTAAATACTTTGAGGACGTTTTTGAAGAATTTTTTTTGAAAGCTGAATGTCTAGTAATATGTTTATATGAAATTACATGTATATGAATACTGGTCGGAGACCATCAACCGGACACTTTTGGAACATTTTTCCGTACAGATTTCATAATTTTTAACCTAGAGACCAAAAAATTTGACACAGTTCAGCTAGGTTCTTCTCCTAACTAACAAACTAGTTTGTTTATTTCTGATTGTATTGACACTTATATTTGAGGCTCGACAAGGAGGGTTTCAAAGTTACCTAAATTGTCTTCACTACAGTACCATGTGTCTGGACATATATGTACATGATGTGATTTAATTCAGATAAAAGCTTTGGTGTTTTGATTTTTGATTTGTAACATGATATACAATATGTCAACAACAAATGCTGAAGTTTTGGATATTCTATTATTCACTCTGCATATGATTATAGCTGGTATATGAGGTCAGGCATTGCTTTCTTGACCCCCCGATTTTCAACGTCAACATTCTTGAAATACACATTAAAATATTACCATTTACGGAGGTTGAAATAAATTTATTTATTTAATTTTAAAAGAAACATGGAATTATTGTTTATAAAAAAGTGACTGACAACCATCGAAGAAAGAAAATACCAAATTAAGCATTTTCGGGGCCGTCCGGGTTTGGTGGTTGTCCGGTTTTGGTGGTCCCCAACCAGTACTGTTTAAAGGCACATTATGCCTCAGAAACAAATAAATTTTTCCTTCTTTGGAAAGGGCAAACAATAGTTTAATAATGTTAAAATAATGGTTTAAGAGAATTTCAGATGCTTATAACCTGAAGATAGAAGTGTTGAATATGAAATTATTGGCCATAAAAGAAGCAAAATGTAAACAAAGTAGTATTTTGACTTCAATACAAAATTATTAGTCACTGTAGAAGTATTTATTGCCAGAAACCAATAGAAGCAGACGATGGTTCAGGTAATTGGCCAATGAGAATTTTTTGGAAAAGATAGCATGATATCAAAAATAAAAATGAGAAATGAAAATAAGCTTTTGAGGAATAATGGGCCTTTAATGTCAGAAGATCATTAAACCTTGTACATGTGTTGAATATTTTTCCTCAAACAGGATGAAGAAGTAGGTTTATTAACAGAGGTGACCCATTTACAAGAGATTATGGACATTCTATGTCTGCAGGCGGACAGTCCTCAAACATTACCAGCATCTAGTGAACAGGTGATTCTAGATCTCAAAGGGGAGGATGCTGGCTCTTTTAAATTCCAGGTATATATAGTCCTTGACCTTTAAAGTCTTTTCTAGTTATTTTAAAGGTCATAATGACTTAATTAAATTTTTTACTATTTTTTAGGTCAAAGGTCAAGGTCTTGTGATGTCAAATGTTTTGTTGACATTGACCTTGATGCATTGTTTGTGTACATAACTTGTTTGTAGTGTCAGGAGGCAATGACCAACTCAAGTTGGCAATGACCTTTGTATTTCAAGGTCAAGTTAATGGAACCCTTTATTTGTTGTTTTTCTTCCTTTTTTTCTATTTAAGAAGATATCTTTTTTTTTATAAAACATATCTGATCAGAATTCAGAAATCGTATTTTTAATTCTTTTGTTCAGTTAAATAAGTTTTCAAATGTTTTATGTTCAGGAAAATATATTACAGTCTTGGCTTTGTTTTTGTTTCATGTTTACTATACAAATGTATTCGTACCAGGAAGGTGACAGTATGATGTAATTACACCTATAGTTTCATTATGTTTTTTTTTCTTTTTTAAGATTTGAATTTATTTTTAAAACTGACCAATACTGTGCCTTAAATTGTGGACGGTGTCAACATTGGTTTTTTGAGTCGTCTAAATAAAAGCAAATTGTTAATGAAGATATCAGCCACTGACCGTTAGCTAATTGAAACTGGTTTTGGTTTTAATGCTTTAACTCATACCATTACCTGTTTTACAGAAATATTTGTCCATTCCAAAGATACGTGTTTGGTCTAAGGTATTTTCATTATGTTTATACAATATGCTTGCAAAGTGATGAGAGCTGGTTATTGCAACATGTGAATACACCATTAAATATTTATTTTGATATGCTGTCAAAAAAGGGAGATTATTTTCTTGACATTGTCTGACATTTTATGAATAAATTTTAATTTCTGAAAAGAGAATTTTATATCGATGCACACGGTGCATAAATTAAGTTTTTGTTGAAATTCATCGAGAGTTTTATTTTCATTGGATGCTGTTTGTGTATTCATGTCTGCCGCGGCGCAGCAGCGTCTTTATATGTCATTCTGCAAGCAAATTTGTCCCATGTATTTGGATATCATCCAATGCACCCAGTTAAACTTATAAAACATTTTTATTTGTTGTAGTTTGCTAAGATCTTTATTACAGTTACAGCAATAAGAAAATGTTTACATGTTATGTTTTGGTATGCAAAAGACATTAAGAAAACTTGTGAAAAGTAGAAATCTTTTCATCACACTTTTGTACATTTTTTTATCTTTAGCTTCATAAAACAACCTTGAGCATGATTTCTTTATAAATTGATTATTCTATTTGTAGCCTAGGGTGTTGTTGTGAAAATATATATAAATTACAATCTGTACTCTGTTAAAATATACCAATTTAAAAATGTGTGAAGAATCTTGACTAGATTTCACAATAGTTATGAGCTTATGACGATCATTAGTTATGTTTGAAATTCTTTTCCTTAATTTGAATATACATAAACAGAGTTTTCCTCTTGTATAACTAATATGTGAAAACTGCACCATTCCCAATAAAAAAGAGCAAATTATCCATTATATGACTTGTAAATTCCCAATATTACACTGAAAATTCCCAATTTAGGTCAAAACTATGCAATTTCTGCAATTTGTTTGGTGCTGACACCATTTGCGAAGTAGGGGAAAATGCTGATAAATAAGTTTCTGAAACACTTTTTATACAGTGTTGAATATTGGTTCTGGTGCAACAATGCTAAAGTTTAAAAACTAAAATTATGAGTTACTTTGACCTTGAACTTTAATTTAACACAGATTGTTTTGAGGATAAAAACAAAAACACTTAACACACATGCTTAGAAAGAAAATTATCTGGGGATTTTGAAGTTCCTGGGGTTTTATTTAAGGAAAGTACTTGTCTTACTTGTGAAATGTATGTCGGTAACTGCCTCTACCTGAGGGACGTCTGCCTTCATGTACACCTAGAAATTAAAACAGCAAGTTATGATAAAATAAATGAACACAAACATTGATTGCATAGGATAAAAACATGTGTCCACTTGGCCGAGTGGTTAAGGTCGTTGACTTCAAACCACATGCCCCTCACCACTGTGGGTTCGAATCCCGACAGGGACTTTGGATTCTTTCATGTGAGGAAGCTATCCAGCTAGCTTACAGAACGTCGGTGGTTCTACTCAGGTGCCCGTTCGTGCCTGAAATAATGCACGGAAGGGCACCTGAGGTCTTCCTCGACCAGTAAAGCTGGAACGTCGCCAAAATAATGACCTATACTGTGTCCATGTGACGTAAAACCCAATCAAACAAACAAAACAAAACTTCAACTTCATTTTCTTATTGTACATGTATTTGATCAGATTTTTTATGATACTGTTGTAATAATGTTAATCGAAACAATAATATTATTGTTAGGTAAAGCAACTTCGAAATTTTAAATTAAATCACAAATTGTGATCTCAGCTGTGAAATATTGCTATTTTATGACTGGTATTGAAGCATCTAGAAATTTAAAATGCACATTTCAAAATATAATTTTATTTTAATGCAGTTGAGTAAGATAATTTTTTGATATAAATTTTTATGAAGTGTCAAATTTAGAACTGCTATCAAATTGTAAAATTACCATTAAAATATGTGCATAGTTAATTTTATATCATAGTGTAGTAGATAATCTTTGGATTCTTACAAGTGTGGAGCTATCAAGTTAGCTTACAGAACGTTGGTGGTTCTACCCAGGTGCCCTGTCCATGCCTAAAATAATCCATAGAGGGGCATTTAAGGCATTTGAAAATCAATGTTACAAACATGCAGTATATACATATATTTACAACACTAAATTGAATATTTTAATAGCAAGAAGGGAGACTGCGCGGACATCGTGAAGAAAAATATAATGAAATTTCCCTTGTATAACATATATATATATATATACACACAGATCTGACATGTATTACCTCAACCAAATAAATTTGTGGTAGAAAAATCATCAATAATATGAGAATTTGGATAAATTGTTTTTTAAACGTTTCACCCTATGCCTTTATCAGGATAAATATTATGTAATTTATATATACTTGTTTTTTTTTTCTCTCAATCAGATAATTAATAAAGACTTCAGAATAACAATATCTCTCTTTTCACATTAATACAAGCTTTTAGGGCACACATATCCTGACTTACACACAGTACAATTTTTTTTTTTACTCCCGTGCTTTGCATGTATTTATGCAAGGAATGAAATTATTGTTATGAACGCAGAAACTTTGAACTGCACTTCATTTTTGTATGACACAATTAAATAAACCATGATACTAAAAATAAATTAGTATTCAAACTGTATCTTTTTCATATTTTTTGACGTGGTTTCGTTTGGTTTTTTAATTATTCATATTTCTATAACACTAACAAAATTTTAACTTAAAATTGTAGCGAACAAAATCAAACGACAAACTATTACAGATGTAAACGAGATAAAAAGCTTCAAAGGATTTTTTTAAGTCGTCGTGTGAATGTGTTTAAATGATTGGTCTTTGTTTTTACAAATTGTGCGCATTGTTTAAGGTAATCGGGAATTTAAAGAATTTGAAAACATGTTAACTCTAGATGGAACAAGAATATGTTAAGTTGATTGTGACCAGTTATAAATAGAGACAGCTTTGTGGGGAATGATTCTTTGGGGGGTAGATGAATTGATAGCTATTTGTTTATTACAACTAAATATGTTGCGAACATGCACTATGATTAAAGTTGATTGAAGATATGTTTAAAGAAGTTTGTAGCCACTGTCAAATGATTGATGGTGTAAACCTCATTAGTTTAAAATTCAAATATTTTTTTTTTTAATTTTTGAAATATTTTCTTAATTTTTGCTTTAAGCAAATGATTGTTTGGCACCTGTTTTTAGACGATTGTTGATGTATATTTCAGACACCACCTAGTTCACCAAGCTCCCTTGGTTCCAGAAAGTCGAGCATGTGCAGTATCAATAGTATTGCGAGTTCGAGCAGCGGATCAGCACAGTCCCACAGTCCATGCCATAATAAAACTATACAACAGGTTAGTAATAACTATAACATCAGCTCATGCCATAATAAAACTATACAACAGGTTAGTTATAACTGAAACATCAGTCCATGCCATAATAAAACTATACAACAGGTTAGTTATAACTATAACATCAGTCCATGCCATAATAAAACTATACAACAGGTTAGTTATAACTGAAACATCAGTCCATGCCATAATAAAACTATACAACAGGTTAGTTATAACTGAAACATCAGTTCATGCCATAATAAAACTATACAACAGGTTAGTAATAACTATATCAGCAGTTCATGCCGTAATAAAACTATACAACAGGTTAGTTATAACTGAAACATCAGTCTATGCCATAATAAAACTATACAACAGTTTAGTTATAACTATAACACCAGTCCATGCCATAATAAAACTATACAACAGGTTAGTTATAACTAAAACATCAGTCCATGCCAGAATAAAACTATACAAGAGGTTAGTAATAACTGAAGCATCACGTCATGCCATAATAAAAAAGCATCACTTCATGCCATAATAAAACTATACAACAGGTTAGTAATAATTAAAACATCAGTCCATGCCATAATAAAACTATATAACAATTAAGTTATAACTGAAAAGTCTGGCCAATCGGATATAAAATCACTCTTATCAGAAAAAAATCAAAATTGCAGATAAAATTATCATTACATTGGGCATGACTTGTTACGCTATATTCTGCTTATTGTTCTATAACATCATTACTAAAGAAATAACTCCTGAGACAGATAGTTAACAAGATGAATGTTAGGTGTTTGCACTGGGATTCAGTGCAGCAGAGTTAAGATACTAGTTTGCTGATGGCAGAAATTATGTTAAAGCTTACTGTTTACTGATTCTATACCAAAAATATTTAGTCTAGACAAATATTGATTCTCGGTCTAGGTGTCTGATATATGCATGGGTCCTGATATGTACAAATATTTACCTTTTAAACAGATTTTTGAATGAAATCAAGTAATTTTGTTTAGAAAGAAAATATTTACTATTAATTTACTTTGATGTTTACTGTTATTAGTTATCTGAAATACTGTTAAGGGGAATACATGATCAGTCATTAAATATTTATTATTTGTTTTTACCAAATTTATATAAAAAGTACAAGGAGATGGAGAAAAAAATCAATTTCTTTACAAAAGCTTTTGAAATATCAGAAGATGAATTATTCAGCTTGGGAAGCATTCAGAGAATAGGTTTTGTGAGATATAAAGAATATAATGTAGATAAAGTACTATTATTGTACAATCTGTAAAATTTTACTATCTGTAGAATTAATATTGCAGAATTTTGGCAGTTAATGATAATCGTGCTGTTGTAGATCAGATAGGGCTGCCATAACAGATCTCATATATTGCATGTTTTATATCTGTAGACATACAGTCAAACCTGTGTTAAAAGACCACTTCTGAATAAAGACCACCCTGTTAATAAAGGCCACTCTCTGGCAATTCTGCATTGATTAAAAAGAAAAGTAACCTCTAAATAAAGACCACTTGTCTATAAAGGCCATGCTTGATCTCTCCTTGGATGTCCTTTGTTCACAGGTTTAACAGTAATTACATTAGGACCAAACTATACTAAAAACTTTAAACTGTATAAATATACATATTAAACAGATGTTTCACTTTTTATAGATCATAAGGTATAATTTCCCATGCCAAACTGATGTAAAAATTGATATTTCACTTGGAAACATCTGAAATAAGTATTAATCAGAGCTAAACTGAGACAAAAATTGTTTTGAGATGCATAATTTATATTTCTTTTTTTAAGACCAGAAACAGTGATTCTTCAGTGCCTACTGCCTATCAACAACAATAAACAATCTTGTTTTTAACGTACCTAAAAAAAAACATTTTTTTTAATGTTTTGTGCACATCAATTTATCAGCTTCTTTTGATTTAACAGAGCTTCTACAGTCTATTGTTTATTAACTGATACATTTGATAATACCTCTCCTTACAATTGATATGTTTCTGCAAATAGAAGACAGCAGTGTTTCCTGCTGTTTTCTATCATACAAGTTACCTTGTAGCGATCTCTGCTGCAAAAAATTCTCCCCGACATTTCTGTATAACAGAATAGCTTTCAAACATTACCACATCATCTTGTTTGTTTTTTCCATCCGCCTACTTTTGTTGATTGTTTCTAGGTTCTATATTTGAATCTCCCTTCTTCAATGATTCCAGAAAACATCTCTTATCGCAAAATTTCAGGCTTGTGCGTAATAGTATCAATGCTAAATTTAATATCAAAACAATTTTTTTTTTCATGTTTTTTTTTTTTTCGCTGATAAAAGTTGGAGGGATGGTTTGGGGGTGGGGTTAAACGTCACTTTTTTGTGATATCAGTTATAATTGTAAATATATATTAAAATTGGAAATAATTTGTTTCTTGGCCATATTTCAAGGTAATATAAAAATTTTAGTAAATAAATCCAGATACTTCATTATTCCAAATATTCAATAAAATTTTTCATTGTTGCTGTTTTTAATAAAATCTTGATATAATTAATCTCTGTAATTTATGATTTTATTATTGTATTGTGATATATCCAAGAAGAAAGAATTTATAATTTATCCATACTTTCATTAGAATGATACATGAACTTATCCATGACATATCAGCTCAGCAGTAATAGTTTCATAGCTTATTCTTACCTTCTGAACTGATGGAGAAATAAACCATGCTTGGCTTTATTATGTTAAGCAGTTCAGTCATGAAATATTAGATATATACTACAGTCAAATCTGTGAATAAAGGCCATTCAAAGAAGAGACCAAACATGGCCATTATAGACAAGTGATTTTTATTTGGAGGTTAATATGTTCTTTTTAATAAATGAAGCTTTGTTAAAGAGTGGCCTTTGTTAACAGGGTTGTCTTTTTTGGAGATGGTCTTTAATTCAGGTTTGACTGTATTTAATTCTATACAATTCCAGCCAGCTTGTGTTATAATATATCAAACAATAAGGCATGTTTAGCTCCATCATGCAGTATATGAAACCTTAACATTATGCCATACATAAGAGTATATAGCATTTAGTTTGGCCTAACATTCTGTTATATATCGGACAGTACGTCATGTTTAGTGTTGCTATGTTACATCTACTATTTTGTGATATATATCAGACTCAGACTGTAATTTGTCATGTAAATCCTAACATTCTGTGATATATTTGTACAGCAACAAGCTCAGTTGTTGGGATCAGGCGTACGCTTGACTAGCGTATCATCACAGGACTCAGGATTTACATCACAAGATACCTTGTTCCTGCGGCCGACCACACCCTCCTCCCTCAGCTTACAAACCCAGGTAAATGTCATTTGAGAATAGTAGTACAATGCCATGCTTTTATTAAAGATAAATATTGGTAATCATAGCATTATTATGATAACTGATACTTGTTTTAACAGTACATGTATTTGTATTTCATGTACATTTTTCACAGTTGTAGCATAACATTCATTTTTGGCAATTGTTGCATAACCTTTACATTTTTGGCAATTGTTGCATAGCATAAAGTTTTTTGGCAATTGTTGCATAACATTTTACATTTTTGGCAATTGTTGCATAACCTTTACATTTTTGGCAATCATAGCATAACCTTTACATTTTTGGCAATTGTTGCATTGCATAAAGTTTTTTTGGCAACTGTTGCATAACCTTACATTTTTTGGCAATTGTTGCATAACCTTTACATTTTTGGCAATCATAGCATAACCTTTACATTTTTGGCAATCATAGCATAACCTTTACATTTTTTGGCAATTGTTGCATAACCTTTACATTTTTTGCAATCATAGCATAACCTTTACATCTTTGGCAATTGTTTATTTGTTGCATAATCTTTACATTTTTGGCAATTGTTGCATAACTTATTGCAACATATGTGATACAGTGGTTGACTTTTATAGTATACAAGCTTTACTTACTTAGATATGACATAAAGTGCATGATGGTTATGCTTCCTTTCCAACTGTTAACAAGTAGTTGAAGAGAATTTACTGAGCATGTTAGTTTCAACCGCATAGTTAAACAATGTGATACAAGAAAAATTGATGAAAAATTTATGAGTATAGGTAATATAGGTACAGAAAATTTACGAGTATACGTAATAAGGTACAGAAAGTATTGTTAGGTTTTCTAATTCATTAATTGGTATATTTCTTCCAATACAGTTTATGTTTATTTTAAAGGATTAAAAAAGAACAAATACAAACATTTCAATTTTAGTTTTTATACCACTAGTTATTCACGTAGTAGTGTTCTTTGGGATTGGATGGGAAATTAAAGATTATATTAAATGAACTTTCCTTTGGGTGGGGTGGGAAATTGAAATTTATAATGATTTCAAGGTAGTGAAATAAATAGAAGTTATTTGGAAGCATTTTATTGGCTGTTTTCTTTTACAAATAATAAAGAAATATAGGAAGGGTTGATTTTACTTCTAGATTGTTTAATTATAGACTATTTTATTTATTAATCGTGCTTCCTGGTCTGCAATAAAAATTTAGAATGAAGTACTGAGTTGTTTGTTTCTGTCATGAGTTTGGTTCTGTGGTATTTGTGTAACAATGATTTTCTGTACAGACTGCTGACAATAACAGTCAAGATGCCGACACGCCAGAAGTCGAGTCGACGCCTTCCACTCCGTCAGAAAGCTACCCAAATACACCATCAGCCACTTCAACATGGACTAACTGGCCAAATCCACCAAACATAGGTGGCAAGTCTGAGCCAGGTCGCCCACACACGATATCTTCAGCGTACGAGAAGTCCCATTCGAGACCGGCTTTGTCGGCACAGTTGTTCGAGCCTCCACAACAGGGTTCTTTAGAGAGTACAAGACCGGAAGATCAACATGACGCTACTGTGATTAAACGGGAACGACCTCATAGCACGATGTCTGTGCCATATTCTAGACAGTCTGCTTCCATCAACAAAATGCAGCCGGTGTTACCACCTCTTGGTCCCAAGCCCAAATCTCGGGCAGTTGCACCACCTAAAGTACCACCATCTATAGGTAACTAATAATTTACTTTCTCAGTAATAGGATATTTTAGTAATGATAACTTATTTATTTTCAATCCATCTTGAGAAAGAAGCATTTGCAATATTAATTGCTTGTAATGCAATTGAAATTTTTTTTTATATTTTACTGTAAATTTTCCAACCTTGATCTTTTCAATTCAACTCTTTGCCTATGAGGGCCAACTGATTGTGCTCATGCCACCAGTGCAGACCAAGGTCAGCAGGCACATCATTCTGTGTTGTCTGATTTTGGTCTGCATTTTTAGCTCGACTATTCGAAGAATATGAGAGCTATTGTAGTCGCCCCGGCGTCGGCGTCGGCGTCAGCGTCCGCGTCGGCGTCTGCGTTGGTTAAAGTTTTTTGTAAAGTCAAATATCTCAATTATTACTTGAGATATTCAATTGAAACTTACAATACTTATTTATAGTAACAAGGTACATCAGATTCACAAGTTGGATAACTCTGCCTACAATATTGACAGAATTATGCCCCTTTTTTACTTAGAAATTTTGGTTAAAGTTTTTTATAAAGTCAAATATCTCAATTATTGCTTGAGATATTTAATTGAAACTTACAATACTTATTAATAGTAACAAGATACTTCATATTGACAAGTTGGATAACTCTGCCTACAATATTGACAGAATTATGCCCCTTTTTAACTTAGAAATTTTGGTTAAAGTTTTTTGTAAAGTCAAATATCTCGATTATTGCTTGAGATATTCAATTGAAACTTACAATACTTATTTATAGTAACAAGTTTCATCAGATTGACAAGTTGGATAACTCTGCCTACAATATTGAAAGAATTATGCCCCTTTGGAACTTAGAAATTTTGGTTAAAGTTTTTTTGTAAAGTCAAATATCTCAATTATTGCTTGAGATATTCAATTGAAATTTAAAATACTTTTTTATAGTAACAATGTACATCAGTTTGCAAAATTGCATAACTCTGCCTGCAATATTTGTAGAATTATTTGCCCCTTTGAAACTTAGAAATTTTGGTTAAAGGTTACAGGTCTTCAAAAATATTTACTTCAAACTTTACACATGCACTTAGGGTCATAATTGGAGGGTCATAATTGTATGTCACTAACCAAGTTCCATAACTCTATCTTGCATTAAGGCTGGTTCATATCCCCTTTTCTACTTAGTCTCTTGGTTAATGTTCACATGCAAGTTTTACATATCTCAATAACTATTAAAGATATTTATTTATAATTTCACATATGCATTTAGGGTCATAATTGTAGGTCACTGACAAAGATCCATTATTCTATCTTGCATTTAGGCTGATTTTTCTTCCCTTTTTCAACTTAGAAATTCATGGTAAAGTTTTGCTTGTAAGCTGTTATCTCAATAACTACTGAAGGGTTTGTGCCTTTTTTGGGACAATTTTATGCATTCATAATAATAAAGCAGTGATTTACTTGATAAAAAATCTTAATAACAAGACTTTGACTTTTTCTGTCAAATTTATGTATTCATAGGTAATTAGTATTATTTTACTCAATAAAACACCCTTGTGACATTACCTTCCGAATAGTCAAGCCAATACTGTATAATTAGACTCTCTCTAAGGCCAGTATTACATGAATTTATAAAAAAAAATTAGCCCTTTTGTGAACTTAAAAAATTTAACATTATCAAGGCTCTTTTACTATCAAGCACTTAGAATAGTCGAGCGTGCTGTCCTACTGACAGCTCTTGTTTACTTATCAGTCATTAAAATTATATTTTGAAATTTTCCCTAAAAATGTTAAATGTTTTTGACCAGATTAAAATATATTAAGCATTGGTTAGGGTAAATAGACCATTCTAGATTGTGATGCCTCTAATTGTAACCTTTGGAGCACTAGTAGCAATAAAATGAGTTAAGCTAGGCAAGTCTGAAAATCTGTGCAGTCAGATTAGACTTCATATAATATACTGATTGCTGTTCAGTTTTAAAATTTTGATATTGAAATCCCTGTACAATACTAAGGGACTGATAAAAATTGAAAGCAGGACAATGCCATGACACAAAATATTAAGCAGTGTTAGGATTAATATACAAATCTAGGATTCATTGCAGTACATGTGTTACTTCCTTCTTAAATTGCATTATTGAGTTAATCTAGTGCTTCAATTAACTTTATTGGCATTTAAAAAAAAACAACAAAAAAAAACCTATTGGCATTCTGACATGACATTAGCAACTGTGCATGTTTGTTTACTTATCTGTGAATGTAAGAATGGTTATAATATTTTATTATAACATATATATTTCTATTTTGTTGTGAATGTAGGTGAGCAGCCAGTATATGCAAATTTGAACGAGTTGAATGTACAGATACAGAGTCAGGGCGGGGACAGTGATACAGATAAAACCCCGACCACCAGGGACCCGCCCTTCGAGCCAAACACGCCCAGTCCCAAGGTAGAAAGACCACAGGTAAATGAATGCTGTATATACAAATCATTTAGTGAACCGTGGTTCGTTTAGGATAAATCAGAGCCCTGAAATTAGGATAAATCAGAGATCTGAAATTAAAACAGGAGCAAAATGGGCACCAATAGATTTTATAGATAGCAATTAACTTTAGAGATAAAGTATGTATATAGTTAGATAATACAATTTAATTACATGACATCATCTATTTTTTTGCACAAACTATTTATATATTTAACTTTTAAAAGCTTTATAATACCTCACAGATCATCACTGTTATATATCTAATCTGTTAGAACTAATGACTTATTTTGTCTTTATATTTACTGACCTAGATTTCATTGATTACTATGCTTGATGGCATGAATTTATAATATAAAAAAAAAACAACCTTTTTTGTGTGCTCTGCATTTAGTCTTTATTGTGTATGTAATGCTTAGTAATCTGCTAGTCACAGCTGATATGTATTTTAGCCATTTTCTGCAACATATTGAAGGGAAAGGGGTAGGGGGTTGGGGACGTGGAGATCATTGAAAGAAAGGGCATAAAAGAGAAATTTAAAAGTCTGTCCGTAACAGTTTTACCAGAAATTATGTAGGATAAAGACTTAACAAAGCAAAAAATTATGTCCGAAGTATCCAAATGGAATTGAAGCACTACTTGACTGGGGGTGATCTCCTTTTCTAGAGTGACTAAAATGCCTGTAAGAACTATTAGTTGAAGCAAAACCTTTCTTTATATTTATCAAAAGCTTGCTTCATATATACACTGCTTTTATTTTACTTTTTTTTTATTTTTAAAAGTTTAATAAATTTTCCAGATATTTTTCCTATGAAAGAGACCTATGAATATAACTTGAAAGATCTTTGATAAAATTTATCAAAATATCAAAATTTATTAACAGATTTGCATTAATAATTTTGGCCATTAAAGTTAATCAGCTGTGAATGGTAGCTATTTTGAATTTGATCATTTTTGCATGCCAGCCTCTGTTTTATTACCAAAAACAGTCATATCTGACCTACTGTTACATCAAAACTCATGTCTGACCTTTTGTTGTTTGCTTTTTCACCCTTGAACCCATACAGTTGGATGGAATGGACTTAACGGAGGCTATACGCGACCTTGATAATTACACAGCTGCTCTGCACGGCGATTTCACTCCTGGCGATCGGAAATCTAAGGCAAGAGACATGCTTTCTAATAAAAGTATCAGCACAAAATACACTCTCTAACTTACATATTATTACAATAAAATATATATTGTAAATGATCTTGTACTGGGTAATTATGTAGGTGGAATATACGTAAGTAGATAAATGGATATTTGGAAGAAAAATACGCTATGTACGATGGTTCTCCCAATATTCTGTGACGATAATGTTTAAAGATTCATTTAGATAGGCACAAAGTCAAAATTTTGATATGTTGTTGACACATATAAATGATACATTTTTATGTCAAATTTAAATACTAGAAAAATATCAACAATTTATTGAATTAACAAAATGGTTACATAAATACTGTGACAAATACAACTTCTGTATGGCAAATTTCTTGCTTCTATCTCTTCCATTTGTAAACAAGTGCTTTTGATATGCTGCTTGACTGTTCTTTTTGAAGTATTGGTCATTTTAGTTTTAACAGGTGTCATTCTTTGGTCGGCACAAAAGTGGATAAATGTCAGTTGTGCTGAACGTTCTTTAGATGTGGCCTTTATAAATATCCTATTTGCTATCAGATGTTTCCATTTACTGTTTCTCATTTGTAATCAGGTTAAAATATGTTATTATGCCACCGCAGCATCTGCGATGCGGTGGCATATAGCGATTCACCTGTGTGTATGTGTGTGTGTGTGTGTGTTTGTTTGTTTGTTTGTGTGTGTGTGTGTTATAGAGATTATATAGTGAACTTAAAAAATCTTCTTGTGAAAAACCACTTGTCCAATTTCAACCAAACTTGGCAGGATTGATCCTTGGGTGAAGGGCTTCCAAAGTTGTTCAAAGAATTTCATTCCATGCAGAAATCTGGTTGCCATGGCAACCAAAAGGAATTAAATGAATAAATTTAAAAAATCTTCTTGTAAAGACCCAAAAGGCCTAGAGCTTAGATATTTTGCATAAGGCATTGTCTGGTAGACCTCTACCAAGATTGTTCAAATTATAGCCCTGGGATCAAAATCGGCCCTGCCCCGGGGGTTATTGATTTTCACTATATGTACATATAGTAAAAACTTAAAATACCTTCTTGTAAAGACTGAAAAGGTCTAGAGCTTAGATATTTTGCATAAGGCATTGTCTGGTAGACCTCTACCAAGATTGTTCAAATTATAGCCCTGGGGTCAAAATTGGCCCGGCCCCGGGGGTCATTGATTTTCACTATATGTACATATAGTAAAAACTTAAAATACCTTCTTGTAAAGACCCAAAAGGCCTAGAGCTTAGATATTTTGCATAAGGCATTGTCTGGTAGACCTCTACCAAGATTGTTCAAATTATAGCCCTAGGGTCAAAATTGCCCCTGCCCCGGGGGTCATTGATTTTCACTATATGTACATATAGTAAAAACTTAAAATACCTTCTTGTAAAGACCCAAAAGGCCTAGAGCTTAGATATTTTGCATAGGGCATTGTCTCGTAGACCTTTACCAAGATTGTTCAAATTATAGCCCTGGGGTCAAAATCGGCCCCACCCCGAGTGTCATTCTCACTATGTACATATAATAAAAACTTAAAATACCTTCTTGTAAAGACCCAAAAGGCCTAGAGCTTAGATATTTTGCATGAGGCATTGTCTGGTAGACCCTTACCAATATTGTTCAAATTATAGCCCTGGGGTCAAAATCGGCCCCGCCCTGGGGGTCATTGGTTTTCCTTATATGTATATAGTTAAAACTTATAGTAAAAACTTTAAAAAATTTCTTCTAGCAATTGACAAATGCTAGAGGTTAAATATTTTGCATGAAACATTGTGAAGTGAACTTCTAGCAAGATTGTTGTTGAATTATAGCCCTGGTGTCAAAATTGCCCCCGCCCCAGGGGTCATTGATTTTAAATATATATATAGTAAAAAATCTTATTGTCTGAAGGTACAAGGCTTAGAGCTTTAATATTTGTTAAATGATATCATCTATAGGAACTCTACCAAAGTTGTTCAAATTTTGCCTCTAGTGTCAAAATTAGCCCTGCCCCGGGGGCCATAGAATTTCAGTGTTGTTATATTTTTCTGGTCCTTTGGGATCATTGATGCCAGCACTATTAAGTGTTGAGAATTGAATACCGCTCAAGCCGGTGCTAGGGGGCGTGAGGGATGTTGCACGAATCCATTGTCCCTCATGTACAGACTCAATCAAACCGAGTCTGCGATTCTCTTGTAATTTTGTTGTGATTAATGCTTCCGAGGGATCACTTTGTTTCCGGATTTTTATACATCACAACAGCGGGTGTCAAGTGCTGTGTGGCAGCTGTAGAGGGTTGCCCTGTGCTTCACTTCAGTGTTGTTATATTTTTCTGGTCCTTCGGGATCATTGATGCCAGCACTATTAAGTGTTGAGAATTGAGTACCGCTCAAGCCGGTGCTAGGGGGCGTGAGGGATGTTGCACGAATCCATTGTCCCTCATGTACAGACTCAATCAAACCGAGTCTGCGATTCTCTTGTAATTTTGTTGTGATTAATGCTTCCGAGGGATCACTTTGTTTCCGGATTTTTTTTCCTTATATGTATAAAGTAAAAACTTAAAAAATCATCTTCTTTAAATTTACAAAGACTAGAGTTAAGATATTTTGCATGAAACATTATGTAGTGAACCTCTAGCAAGATTGTACAAATTATAGCCCTGGGGTCAAAATTGGCCCCACCCCCAGGGGTCATTGATTTTCACTATGTACACATAGTAAAAAAATAAAAAAATATTTTTGTCTGAAGAAACAAGGGATAGAGGTTTGATGTTTGCTATATAATATCATCTATAGGTCCTCTACTAAATTTGTTCAATTTTTTCCCCTGGTGTCAAAATTGGCCCTGCCCGGGGTCAGTGATTCTCATTATGTACACATAGTAAAAATAGAAAATAAAACAAATGTTTTCTGAATGGGAGAAAGCTACAGCTTAGATATTTGACTTGAAATGTTGTTTGGTGGACCTGTATCAAGATTGTTTTGAATTAAACCCTTGGGTCCAAAATTTTGCCTTGCCCAAGGGGACAGTGACCTACTTTCTTGTCCTTTGATGTACAGCAATGAAATTTTGACCATGTGCACAGTTTTAGTTGTAAAATTGAACTTTGATATCAGGTGACCTAGATTTTGTTGATGTGACCTACTTTCTTGTCCTTTGATGTACAGCTATAAAATTTGAACCCTGTGCACAGATTAAGATGTAAAGTGAACTTTGATTTCAGCTGACCTAGATTTTGACAAAGTGTCTTACTGTGTTGTCCTTTTGATGTAGTCATGAAATTAAGGCTGTGTGAAATATGACCTTCACCACCAAAGTCACTAGACTCGAGTGCATTGATATATTCCTACTCTGATCTTTTATTGAGTAAACATTAGATTTAACCACTTATCTGATAATAAGAATAAGATAGGCCAGGGATCCATGCTTTATGACAATCTTCAAAATTGTAAAGAAACAAAAAAAATCTGTTCCTACACTACTATTTAGTGTTGTATTAATGCGGTGGCATAGCATTTTTCTCAAATGCAATCTTGTTTTTGTAATAACATTAAGATACGTTATTTTTGTAATAACGTTAAAATATGTTAATGAACGAGATGATGTCATATCAACAGAGATAATCAACATGGTATATTGAAGGCGCAACATTTGATATTTGAAATATACATACATCATCATTAATCAATTCTATACATAACAAAGTGCAGATAATTTGACATATGTCGGAAATTCAGACTTGTGTCTTTTATTAAAAGATTTCAAAAGTAATTATAGAAAATATTATATCATATAACATTTGTCACAGAATTTTGGTACAACCCTCGTAACTGCACATTGACAGATAAAAGGTATTGTCTATACAATCCTACACAATTTCAATTTGGGCATAAGACATGAAAAGATAATGAAATATAAAGTTTTAAGCAAATTTCTGTTACACCTACAGAATTACCCTATACTGGTCGGGGACCATCAACCGGACACTTTTTGAACATTTTTCCGTACAGATTTCATAATTTTTAACCTAGAGACCTTAAAATTTGACACAGTTCAGCTAGGTTTTTCTCCTAACTAACAAACTAGTTTTATTATTTCTGATTGTATTGACACTTATATCAGAGGCTCGACAAGGAGGGTATCAAAATTACCTCAATTGTCTACACTACAGTACCATGTGTCCGGACAGATATGTACATCAAGTGATTTAATTCAGATAAAAGCTTGGGTGTTTTGATTTTAGATTTTTAACATGATATACAATATTTCAGCAACAAATGCTGAAGTTTTGGATATTCTATTGTTTACTCTGCAAATGATTATAGCTGGTATATGAGGTCAGGCAATTCTTTCTTGACCCCCCAAATGACAACGTCAACATTGTAGAAAAAGGCTTTAAAATATTACCATTTACGGAGGTTGAAAAAACTTAAATTTAAATACTTAATTTTAGAAGAAACATGCATTTATTGTTGATGAAAAAGTGACTGAAAACCACTGAACAAAGAAAATACTAAATTAAGCATTTTCGGGGCCGTCTGGGTTTGGTGGTTGTCCGGTTTTGGTGGTCCCCAACCAGTAGTGGCCATACAAAATCTGGTGTCAAGATACTCATTCTGTCTAATGCCTTTTAGTGATATATTTTAACTAGTGTCCCGTCATGTAGATAACGGTACTCGTGTAATTCTTTGTTGTTTAGTTTCCCCAGTGAAAATGTTGTAGAAGTGCCGTGAAAAATGTCATGTTAAAAAAATGATTTGTATTCTTACCTTAGTATAGTTACGTAACTACGGTGACCTGTTTATTGTGAATATTTATTTAGAGGTGTGTTTGATTTTACAAATGTTAAAATCAACTTTCCGGACAGGTTAAAGACTAAATATTATTAATTTAATATAAAAAAAATGTTTATAAATATTATTTTTATGAATTCTTTTTGAAACAAGTAATGAATAATAATTGAGTTTATATAATAAACCTGCATTTTCCGTATTTTTTTTTTTTAATTTAATATGTTAAGAGTTCTTTTGCTTCTTCAATGAATATATAAATTTATTCACAAGTGACAACATGACAACCTACATGACAACCTATATGACTACTTAATTTAATTGAAAATTGATTTATTTACTTTAATGATTGGAATTTCTTGATTATCTAATTGATTGATATGATTCCCAATTATTTATTTATTAAATATTTTATTAAAGAAAATTGAATATTTTTATTGGCAGTAAGTTAATTAAAGACATGTATATATGAAAACAGAAGTAAAATAATTAAATAAAAAGATTAATTGGCAAAGTCTTGATAAGGCTAAGTAGAGTAAGTAATTTAATTGGCAAGTACTTAATATGCATCTTAGATTGGTGACATTGATTTATAACATAAAATGAAACTCTAACAACAGGACTGGTGCAGCATCCAAATATTATAGATTATATATAAGCATGATAATACTGCAAGTATATTGATGATATTGCCCTATAGTTGACATAATGCTTTAGTTTATTCTATATCAATTATTTACATCCAATCATTGCTTTGAATTTGTATCATATGACCATCAAATATTTTCCCATATTGGACACTGTAATAACCTTTATTGGACAGTTTTGTTGCCTGTTCTTTTCCATGCAACGTAAATGATAATAGCCATTAACAACAAAAGTATCTGAATGGATTCTACTAAGAGCGTCACAAGCGTCTTGCAATGTCAAACCTTTAAGATATTAGGTTGCATCTCCTTAGAGTTTTTCTTGGATATAGGTTAAACAGGTTACCATTACAGGGATATATTTGGACTCGTACACAGCTTTAGAAATTATATTAGATTTTCCTGGCAAGTCATCCAATATGGTTTCTCCTGCTATGTACTCGTCCAAATATATTCCCGTATTGTACAGTTAAATGTTTAATAACCTATAAATATCGATAATATAACCTTATCTTTGACACAATGCGTCAGTATATTGATAATATTGCCTTATCTTTGACACAATGTGATAGTTTATTGATAATATTGCCTTATCTTTGACACAATGCGTCAGTACATTGATAATATTGCCTTATCTTTGACACAATGCGTCAGTATATTGATAATATTGCCTTATCTTTGACACAATGCGTCAGTACATTGATAATATTGCCTTATCTTTGACACAATGCGTCAGTATATTGATAATATTACCTATTAGTTGACACAATACGTTTGTTTTGTTCACAGAAGTCGTTGCGGGGATATACAGTAGTGAGCATGCGTGTTGTAATACTGTAGTCAACAATTGTCATTCATTGTAACACATACATTATATCTGCTTGTATCACATTGAAAACTCTCCATTCATTGATTTACTGTCACCATAAAGTATGCTTTAACAATAAAAAAATACAACTGTATTGCCAGAAATAAACATTTGATAAGTTTTTGGTAGATAAATCTGTTTAATTTGGATTAAGATATTTAATAAGATACAAAAATGTTATTGTAACAGCCTACTTTAATATACATGTACTTTGTATATAACTACTGTAAGGTACTTAGATTGACAGTTGTCTTTTAAATTTATTTAGAAAGTAGGTAACATTTGACAATATATCAAAATTGCTTTTGTAAGAATTAAAACTGATCTGAATAATGGTCAGAGTTACTTCCCTTAATATATTAATGTTTTGAGATGGTATGTCTCTAGAAAAATCATAGTTTGGTCTGTTCATTTAGCATAAAAAAGCGGCCTTGACCTAGAAATTTTTTTGTTATATATATAAGTTTTTTGATAAGATGTTGTTATTATTGTTGTTATAAAAACACCTGATTTTTTTCTAGGATTTATTTTTTGTTTCATATTCCCTTGTATATTACAGGGAAATTTTAATTTTTTTATTTCATTAATATGAAAGCATGTTGGCTGTTTATTTCTTTATTACACTTGTGATTAAGGCCACCAATATTTCTATCTTACATTTAGGGTAATTGTTAATATTAAGAAAATGACTTTAGTGGATAAATATTTAACTTTGATTGCTTTGTAAGCTATACAATACTTGAATGCCGTGTATATGAAATTTGTAAAACTTAATATTTTATATCATTTATAAAGTAAGTAAAATAATATCCACGTGTAATAAGATGCTAAGATTGCTGCAGCATGGAATATGATTGACTTTATCCCACAATTTTTTTCAGTCACCAATAGAGCAGGTTTTAATGTTATTTGCCATGAAATTAATACAATAGGATAGTTACTAGTTACTTAAGTTGTCTTAAAAGTGGTAACAAAATAACATCATTACAAAAAGTTGATAAACTTTGAAATTTGAAGTCATTTGTAGGAGTGTTGACTGTATGCCTTATTAAATCCATGATGTTTGGGATACATAAGGCTGAACAGTAAAACCTGTTAAAATGATCACCTCTTAATAAAAGAAAATACTTATAAAAGCTGTCACTAAATGTAGTAATGTCATTGAGTTACTAGTATTAGTTTGAGAGAAATCTGTTAACGTAGATCACTTTTTCCAGTTCACCGAGCCTGGCTTGAATCAGCAGTTGTAACTGTAAAATTGACGCGAGGCTTTATTTGTTATATTTACGTTATTTCAGATACAACAGAATTCTTTAGAGCTTGCTGCAGCTATTAAAGAATTAGAAGCGAGCACGGCTGCTCTAGAAAGTTCGTACACAGACAATACCCAAGCCAGCCAATCGTCTCTGAACAGTTCTAGTGGTTACGGAACGATGAACAGTACACCGGCAATATCAGAGGACACCATAGCTAGTGGTGGTACGTACACATTGTGATCAAAATCTAAATATAGCCCTTAATCTGCTGAATTTGTGCAATGGACTTGTCGAGCTTTAAATTTGGAATAGTCCAAACATAGTTTTAAGGTAGATTGATATAAAAGTATAACCAACGGTATAGAGCCAGGTCAGACTGCATGGATGTACAGGCTGGCCTGGCTCGATACTGGTGGCAAAGGCTAAATACTTTCAGTGCCAGCAGGTTAAGGGTTATGGTATGTAGTTATCAATGGCACTCTATGCTTTGTAGGTCTTGAAGTTTCTCAGAGAAATAAAAATTGTAGTTAATGAGAGTACTTACATTAAGAATGAATATTTAGATTTTGTTCAGATCTATGCCTTTACATTTGTTTTTTTAACTTTAAATTATAAACATTTTAGTAAAAAAGAAAAACAATTGTCGTTTTTTAGCTCAACCATTGTAAGAATAGGGAGAGCTATTGTACCATCACACTTTGGTTAAGTTTTTGGGTGCAAGTTGGTATCTCAAAAACCACTGAATACGAATGGAATTGAAACTTCACGCACTTATTTAAGAGCATAAGGTCACTATCCAAGGCTCATAACTTGAACCTAGATTTTGACAGAATTATTTGCCCTTTTAGAACTTAAAGAAATTATTCACTATTAAAGCACTGAGAATAGTCGAGCACTGTCCTACAGACAACTCTTGTTTTGAAAATATTCATCTGCAAGTTATTTATTTTCAAATAAGCAGTATGCATTGTGCAATATGTATTATTAGAGCACTTTTCAAATCAAGCTGTACCATTTTTTCTATGAAACTGTTTTTAAAGTTTTTTGAGTTTAACTTGATTGCAAATGCGTGTGTGTGTCGTGTATTTAGAAATTGCATGCACCTAGTTTTGAATGAGGTGAAGACGAGACTGACCTGTCTACTCCCCTGGAACTCTAGTAGATAGTGTAGTTAAGCTTTCACCTTCTTGTGTTTTGCTAGCATGCCTGTGCTTGATACTCCAGTTCACTGAAATGAGCCGCGCCATGACCAAACTAACGTAATGCATTTGCGCCCAGCATGGATCCAGACCAGCCTGCGCCTCCGCGTAGTCTGATCAGGATCCATGCTGTTCACTATCAGTTTCTCTACTTGTTATAGAGTTTATAAGGGAACAGCATGGATCCTGATCAGACTGCGCGGAGGCCCAGGCTGGTCTGGATCCATGCTGGTCGCAAACCCATTATGTTGGTTTTGTCATGGCGCGGCTCAAATATACTTTATCTTGTCTGTGCATTATTTTAAAGAAAAAGCCAGTCAATATGATATATTATTAGTTATAAAGATTTTTTTTGACAGGTTATTTGACCGTATATATATAAATGATTGTAATAATAGTTTATATATGGCCATATAACCTGTCAAGAATCTTTATAACAAATTTATAATACAGCAAACCTTTTTAGATTACTTCAAAAATTGACAGTGGCGTTTATATAAAAATCTGGACAAAAAGTGGTCCCTCAGAAGTATATATCACAACAAAATTACATGAAAATTGCAGACTCGGTTTGATTGAGTCTGTGCATGAGGGATAATGAAAAAGTGCACCTTCCCTCAAGCCTGTAGCACCAGCTTGAGCAGTTCTCAATTTTCAACACTTCAAAGTGCTGGAATCAATGATCCCGATGGACCAGAAAAACACTGAAAACTTTATAATACTGCACCTTTGTAACATCGCTTTTCATTGGATAATAGTGACTAATAACTAATAATATAAACACCATTATTATCCAATGAAATGTGATGTTACAAACGTGTCGTATTATAAATCGCATTATGACTGGTAGATAAGCCTAGGGAAAAAATATATTTGAAATGAAGGAAAGGTAGAAGGCAGCCTTGTCAATTATTATGAACATTGCGATTATATATACAAACAACATTGGTAACGAATATCAAAAAAAAAAAAAATTCTGAGATTATTTTTTTGGTCAATTTTGTCGAGTGTTTTATAGATGTTAGTGTACTGGTGTATGTATTATATAACCTAAATCACCGTTACTATTGTTTAGTTTATGTTGTGACTATATTTGCTTACAGATTACTTTGACACAGGTCAGTCTGACTATGGTAGACAAGAAAAAGAGAAATATTTCACAATCCCGCGAAATAGCCCTGTCATAAAGGCTGCTTTCCAGTTTAAACGTCCGGCATCCACTGCAGGCATGTGTTTGAGTTGATTTCTTTTTGTTTTTGTAGTGTAGTTACTCACATATATCTTGTGTGCATGGTAGAATTATTATATTTCCTACCTTAAGTACTTTAATCTTTACCCTGCTGGAAGCAACAAGTGACCAGTATAGAATTACTTTATACCAATTTATTTCAGTTTGAATATGTCGGAAGCTATAAGCTCATTGAAACACTCTTGAATCTGTTCTTGAAACCAATCAGTACATGTTCTAGGCAACCAAGGTAAAGTTTCTTACTCAAGGAAACAATGCTCGTGATGGGGTTTGAACCCATGCGGTCAGCAATCCTTAGATTACTAGCCTGACTCTTAACCAGTCGGCCACACCGCCACTCAGAATAGAATTAAGTTAGCCTGCACATCAGTGAAGCATGAACAGACTCTATACTGTGGGATAACTTAAAAATTCCATATTGATTTCCCTAAAATTAATATTGGGCAGCTCCAAAAATGGAAGTTGGACAAGTCCATTTAAGAAATTCAGCAGGTTAAGGGTTAAAGAATAAAGAAGATATTTTATGTGAATGATATCTTGTGATATTTTTAAAGCACTCACTGATCTCTTGTCCCACAGTAATAACTTATTTACTGTTTGAACCTAGAATAAAATATATAGAGATAATTCATTAGCATGAATTGAATATGGACTTAAGCCAACATTGATTACAGATTTTCAGCTTACTGATCAATACTTCACTTTAGTGCAGTAATGGGTTAAGTCCTTCTAAATTTTATAGGAGTTAACTACAAATTTAGTTATTGCACTAAGGTAATGAATAATGAATTGTTAAATATTTTCATTTTGCATTAAATACAATTTTTTTCCAAATAAGATGTTTTCAATATTCATGGCATTTTCTTTCTAATGGAGAATGAAAATTACATTGAGTGACATCACATGGTTATTTCATTTAAAAGTATAAAGAGAATCGAGTTTTATACCAAATATGAATGTAAATGATTAGAATTATGTATATACTAAAATAATGCAAAACTTAACAAACTTAACAAACAAACATTGTTGTTTATTGTTGTGAAGATATTGTTGTGAAGACAATAATATTTTTGACTTAAAGGCACTTGACACTTGAAAGGTTTTTTTGACATAAACAAATTTTTTTTGGAAATAACCTTTTTACTGTTTTTCTGTAATTTTAGGCTGAATTATGTAAGAATTAATTTTATAAGGTACCGGGATATGATCTAAGAAATACTGGTTACATTTATATTTTTAACATTGACTTGCTACATTGATCTGAAGCTATCCAGCTAGCTGACAGAACATTGGTAGTTTTACTTAGGTGCCCGTTTTTGCCTGAAATAATGCTTGGAAGGGCACCTGAGGTCTTCCTCCACCAGTAAAGCTGGAATGTCGCCATATGAATTAATGGGTTGGTGTGACGTAAAACTCAATTAAACAAACAAACAAACAAACATTGATTCTGAAGGAAACTCATTCTGCTCTTACGTAAAGATTAAATAATTCAAGAACGAAGATCTTTAATTCTTGTTATATCATTGCAGACCTTTATCATTTAAATTTCTAGTGTGCATTTTTTTTTTTTTTGCACTTTGCAGAAATCTTGCAAAACAGCTCATTATATTAGATCTATAAAAAAAAATCAATTAGCTTTTTTACCTGAGAAATTATGATAACATATTTTATCAGAAAGGGTGGGAAGTATAGGATTAGTAATCTAGAAAAGTTTTAATCAATGTTTTTCTTGTTTTTGTTTTGTCACCAACCAAGAATTCTTTATATAATAACCTCAGTTAGAAAGATGAATAACACCACAACAAGCCTAACATTCCATTATCTGTTTGGTTTATTTAATCTTATATTTGAAATAAACCAACTGCAGACCTTGTTTTCAACATTATTAATGAGCCGCGCCATGACAAAACCAACGTAATGCGTTTGCGACCAGCATGGATCCAGACCAGCCTGCGCATCCACGCAGTCTGATCAGGATCCATGCTGTTCGCTATCAGTTTCTCTACTTGTTATAGGGTTTGTAAGTGAACAGCATGGATCCTGATTAGACTGGGCGGATATGAAGGCTGGTCTGGATCCATGCTGGTAGCAAACGCATTACCTTTTCAAGAAAACTTTGTTATGTAACTTTGAAACTTTGTTGTGCTGTAATCTGTAGTAACCAGTCAGTCCCTAGCATGCTTGTGTGTAAATAGTGTACTCATGCTTTGATTTTGGAAATAATTTGTCTGTAATGTTAACCTGCATTAACTTTGAAGAGTAGTTGTACTTGATATATATTTCACCAACTAATTTTTTTCTTCAAATATTGGTGATTTTTTTAAAATACACTTGAAATATAATTAATGTTTTATTACTGATTACAGGTATTCCTGTATCTGCCCAAGGGGGACAACTTACACGTCGGAGTTCACTCAACGCACCTAAACCTCCGCCTCCCGTCAGACGTTCCTCGTCTATCACCAGTGCCCCTAATTCAACAGTATTACAGAAATTCCGGAACTCTCCTCCACGGCAACTGAATACACAGACTGGTACCAATGCTCAACACCCGCCACAAGTTAGTGCTAAACCGGTTAATCCGCAAAATTCGGCGAACCATCGGAGAAGCAGAAGTGCGAGTGGATCGTCTAATCCTGAGCATGCTTATGCTGAGCTTTCAGAAATACAACAGAGCATTCAGGCTCGGCATCAACAAGAATTGAATAGACAAAATCAGGGGGGACAATACAGTTACGGTCCTGGTGCAGTTTCAGCCCCTGTAACTCCACAGTATGCTCAGCCTGTGACAACACCGAACTATCCAATAGGCAATAGTAATGTCGTAAATAGTTTAAATGCCAAATTTGTTTCAATGAATAGTCAGCAATCTTCACATAGTCAGCCTGTGACTCAATATAGTACGAAAAGTCAGTCAAACTGTATGAACGTTACTCAGCAAGGAGCGGGTCAAAATAGCGCTGGTGCGGGAGATTTCCCGGATCTTCCCCCTCCACCCTCGGAGGCTGAACTCATGGAGATGGAGAAAGTTTACAGTGTGCCAAACCAAAATATACAACAGACACAAGCTTACAATGTGCAGACTTCACATAATGTACAAATGAGAAATCAGACTCAGAATGTGAATCCAATGGCGGGAATTGACATGCGGCAGTCATTAATTTCTGAAATGAAATCGGGAAATAAATTTCGTAAAATGTCATCTAGTGAGAGTGACTCCCAGTGCTGATAATGTGTAGTTTTGAAGTTTGAATAGTTAGTTAAGAAAGTGAATTTTAGGTTACCTGTAATATATAAAGTTTTAGATGTTTATTTATAGTAACAGACTTGAATTCAAATTTTTTCCGGAGCAAGTACTCAATGAAATGAAAATCAATGAAACAAAGTTCATTTTGATTATGTAAATTTCCTTGATGGTTTAGGGTATTAATTTTTTTAGATCTAAATGAAAATTAAAAAAAAAAAATTATTCCTGTAAGATGTGTGGCATAAATTTACGTTCTTTGCTATGTACCATCTATAACTCTATATATTACAATAACTGCATTTGCTTTCTTATTAGAGAAGTTAAGAGATTGCTTATGTGTTAAGATAATATTGCTGGAACATTTAATGATATTGCTCGCTTATTACATACAGTACGGTACCGTAAAAATATGTTTTCAGTATCATCTGAACGTTTAATAACACCATTACGGTAAAGGTGTTATTGGTGATAAATTTGTACATGTTTTTAATTTTGTTTATTATTTGATTGTAAATATATGCTTTTAAAACACACCAGTGGTAGAAATAACGAATGTTTAACATTTTGTTTAGTGAGCTTTTATGTTTTTAGACACCGATATTTTATGGCTCAGTAAGTAAGAATGGTTTGTTTGTTTTTAGTACCAAATATTATTTATTATTTTTATTGCTTTATTTATCATATCTAATCACTGAAATCCAGCTGTTTTAAATTCTGTTACAACACGCATGACATCTTGTGTCTTACAATTTTTTGTTTCTAAATTTTACGACTAGTGAACGACTAATGAAATTTCTATTTTGAAATATTTTATCTAGTAAAGAAATTTTCACAGAGTTGTTTCAACAGATTTTTTTTATGTCTGTTTAAATTTGTTTTGAAATGTTATATTAAGAAGCAGGAAGAAAACAAAAGTGCCATTTTACAGGCAGTTCTGTTGTTCTAAATACATTATGAGTGGTTTAAAAAAAAGATGTTGTCTTAAAATGCTTTAACTTTGGCTCCAGTCACTCTTTTGTTCCTATAAGAGATGTTATAAATATGATTAAATAGTCTATACGTGCATCTAATAATAAAAACTGTGAATTGAATTAAAACTGTAGGCAACTGGTAGTACAGCTATGAATGGTCATAATGCTAATGTATAAAGGTCATAGTCAACTGAAATGTATCCGTCGATTTTCAAATCAGAAAAAAAAAAGAACTGTAAGGCACAAGATATCAGATTATAGTTGTAATATTTGAAATTTTAGTGGATTAGATTAACATGCTGTTTTGCGATGTTGCTATAGAGACGGTTAAAGTCATGTGGTGTTACTGTAAACATAATGTTTTAATGATCCTCAGAAATTTTTAAACGGAATCTCAACTTGTATTATTCAAGCATTTCATCATGGTATACAGGATTTTCATTATTTTCATCAGATTTTTAACTTGTTGAAGGTTCTGCCTGTTTGTATTTATCTGGAAGTTCTAGAAAGTCTTTCTATGATCGGAACAATATGCTTCTTATACTTCGGTGATTTTTTTGGATTTAACTCAATACAGGATTGGAGCAGTACCTCTAGACGCTTGCAGAAATCATCACAAAATAGACAAATATCGTTTTTTTTTTCCGCCGATTTTTATATTTTTCATTCATTATCATACATAAATCGGTGTGAAAAGATGAATTAGACCTATTTAAGTTCATTCTGTTGGGTAAAAAGCCAAGATTTTAGCATTTTATGATTCAAGCGCCTTGTCTGGTAAATACGGGAATACGGTTTTTAGTGTGGTGCTCCAATCCTTTTTTAGTCTCACTCGATTTTTTTTCAATGAAATATATACCAGTTGCCAGTTTGTCATTCTGTCGCACACACATAAGTTTTTTCTCTCTGAGCACCATTGTTCATTGACTGATGTCTTAGACATTTGGTGAGTAAGTACCTGTCTTGGAGCTTTATCCTTAGGCAAGCTTTCAGTTGAATAGGTTCAGGTCAAGGACATTGAGGTTAAAAATAGATTTTCCTTCCTATCGTGATTGTACGGTTATGTATTTAGCATTTTCAAAGGAATAATAAGGAGCATAAATTGTCTTGCTTTCCTCAGAAATTGAAACACAACATTGGTGAATTTGATGGTATAGAATAAACAATAGAATGAATATTTAAAATAAGCATCCTAAACGTACATTAAAATGTCGGTGATTATTATGTATTTCAATCATTGTGCCATAACTGCTGATAGCATGTTGAAATAACAGTCTTTATTTTGATCAGCTGTAACCCCTTGCCATTGATTGTAGTCTTCAAATTCTTAAGATAAAACATGTAGAACAATATACATGTACTTCTACCTTCTATTTGTTATTTTCTGTTTCCAGAAATTTTACACTGACAAAATTCTCTTTATAGTAATATTATGTTCTTGTCTTCAATTTAGGTCAAGTTTTAGTCTGTAACAGTAGGTACATGAAATTTGAGAGCATATTTGTATCAAATTTTATCTTTGTGACATTTTTGTGTTAAACTAAACTAATTAGACTGAAGCAGTACGCCATGGTGAACTTTTTAGGGGAATATTTCCAAAACTAGTTTTTTATTGACCTATTTTCATTACAGCTTGACAAGAAGGTTTCATGAGAGCTTTGGTCATTTGAAAATATGATATTATTTTGTTTGAAAATATTAAATAAATTCATCGAATTCTGTATGTCAGAGTGGTTTGGCTTGCAATCTATAAATAAAGCCTGAAATTAACCAAAAAAAGAGGAAAATGCTGCAAGATTTCTGAGAAGCTAAAGTAGGCTATGTTTAAATGTGCTAAATTTCCATACTGCATTCTACTCCACAAACTCCTCAGTGATTACCTCCCTTGGCAGATCTAATAAGGGGAGATCACTGTGTAGGATATTGTCTTCTCCAGTCTTTTAAGTTATAACTGTTAGGTCACATCTTGATGAGCCTATTATAAACTCATTATTCATAGATTGAAGATTAATTTTACAACATTAAGTAGTACATCAGTTCTGGACCAAACAAATTTACAGTTTTATTTATTTTTCTAGGCGTTTGTTTCCCTTTTACTTTAATTTTGAATTACATGCATATCTTTCAAAACAAATGAGCCACGTCACAACAAAACCAACATAGTGCGTTTGGGACCAGCCTACCATTATAACAAGTAGAGAAACTGATAGCGAACAGCATGGATCCTGATCAGACTGCGCGGATTACAAAAGCACTATGTTGGTTTTGTCGTGACGCGGCTCAAAAAAACAATGTTCTCTCTTATATTCCAGAATGATCATTTTTGATGTCACTTTTATTTTGTACTGTGTGTTATTTTCTAGTCATTTTACTGCACTTGCTAAATCAATAATATCAAACATCATATATGTCATTGAATTATAAATTTGACCTTTTACCTATCAACTTGTGACCGATTCCTGTGCTTTTTTTACATGCTTGCATTTTTTAAACAATTTTTTAAAGGCATATTTTAATTTTGATCTTGTTTGGTAAATATAAAAGTCGTGTGTTTTGCATGTTTTCAAAATAATGAATTTGCCTTATTTTGAGTTTATATATTTTTACTTAAATTACAGAAATAATTTTTGAAAGTAAAATATTGTAAATCAGTAAAAGCTGTTTTTTTTCTTTTAACAAAATTTTAGAACATGTGTACTATTTATAGAATTCTTTTCTATTTTTAGAACACTGCTCTATTTATAGAATCATGATTATAATTTTTGTTTCATTTATTTAATTCATTTAATCTTACATCACTACAGGCATAGTGTCATTTTTCATTTCTTGTGTGTATGCAAAGTAATGCTTGTTAAAGAAGATGGTGCAACTCTAGCTTGTGCAATTCTTGTATATTGTAATCATTTCATGTATTTGTTCTGTTTAAAATATGATTTACTTACCTATATTGATTGGTTTTTTGTTCACTTTTAGGTAAAAGTTTAGAAATCTGTCAAGATTTGGATAGAACCTTCTTTTGAATGGTTGATTACTATTATTTTATGAATATTTTGTGGTAAAAACCAAAGATTTTATTTCTTGAAATTATGGTAGTATAGTTAAACTTTAGGCTAACATAATGCCTATTACTTTTTAAGAAAATTGTTTTTATATTTTATACATGTTTCCACAAACTATGATATATAACATACACAGGCATAGGCTAAACCCAAAATGGCAATTGATTTAGAGTACCTAAAATTGAATAAATGCATTGATACCTCATGTGTATTTATCATAAGTAAGCCATTTCAGTGTGATAACACATCTCATAATCTTATGTCATTTATGCTTTGATTACACATTAAATATGTCCTATGTAGTGACTGTTTTACCAATTACCTGCTGGAACTAGAAGTGATAAGTCTTTGCCAGCAGTATAAAGCCAGGCCAGCCTGTACTGCGCATTCTGACCAGGCTCTATACTGTTGGCTGACTTACTTTGAATTTTAATCCTGATTTCACTAAAATTGACAATGGATACTTCTAAAAATGGAAGACGGACAAGTCCATTAAAAAATTCAGCAGTTTAAGGGTTTAGGTCATAGCTTTATATCATACTGTGGTGGTATATGGGACATTTCTCAAAGCTTGGCTAGATTCTTTACAGCAAAGACAAGGAAAATAATACACAATAGTGATTTCAAAGAGAAATCTTATTTTCTATTCCTTGTTACATAGGTCATTATTATTCCTTTTAATACATGTACACAGTCCTTGTAAGTAAATATTCTCTATTGAGAGAAAATTTTGATAAGAAAACAAGGAGCACAGTAAGAACCTGTGAGTAAGAATATAAGGAAATGGTGTGTTAGGGCTTTGGTACATTTATATTTCGGAACTACTTTTTTTCGCTCAAGAAACCACAAAGTGTAACAAGGCCTGTTTGTAACACAGTACATGTTTGTATGTTACATATTACATGACAAATACATGTTTAAATATACAATGTGATACAATATACAAGGCTGAATGGTTTTGAAAGTACCTTTAAACATTTGAAAATTTGCATTAATGTTACATACATACTGATATTACAAATTGTAGAAATTGCACATTATTAGTATTGAATGCGTAATAAGTATGTGGAAAATTGAGCTCCACTTTATTTAAGGGTAAGTTGAAATTATAGTTGCACCATAATTTAGCCTCAGCATGAGGAATATACGTGTTATGCACAGCTATTTAAGCTTAAAAATGTTTCATTTCTATCAATATTTAGACAAAATATCTTGCCTTCAGTATCTCTGGTCTCATTTATGTATCTGCCGTAAATTATAGTCGATGCTTGAACATTTAATGTATCAAGTTATATCATAGAATAACTGTTGAATGCAAGATTACAATGATATATGTTTTGCCCTCATTTTATGATACTTTTGAATTAATAGTTTGCCTTTGTTTTGAGTTTTAAATCATTATCATCAGTAGATTGGAAAAAGAGATGAAATAGTATCAGTGTATTAGAAAATAAATAAGTGATATTATGCATAGTATTTAAAATATTATGACTAAAATGCACAAAAATGCTTTCTTGTAGTTTTTATGCAGTGGAGGCATTGTATTAAAGAAAAGATGTCCAGTCTAAATCAATCTCATGATAGAGACTGGTTTTGAAAGTTGACATTTATCCAAATTTATCCCTAAATTTAAGATGGCGACCAGTCTGGTTATTCACTATTTTGATTGGCTTATTTAAACATAAAATTTTACACATCCAATCAAATTGCAGGAGTTTTAGACTGGTTTACTGTATCAAATCTTGATGAATTTTTGTTTTATTGATAAAAAGAAAAAGAATAATGTCAGATTGTACCGGTAAGTAAAATATGTTTATTTAAGCTACAAGTATTCCCATTAAGCACATAGTGTAAGCTTTATTAGAAAATAGTAATATAGAAAGTTAAATGGACATATTATTTAGTTATAAACTGTGTACTGTAATTATCTGTTGTCAAAACTTGTTCTGGTATATTATAGTCAGAAATGAGTTTTATAACCAGTAAAATTGTGAAGGAGTTTTAACACCATCCTTGACATTCTGTACTAGAAAAAGAACAAGAATTCTTGTATGAACATCTTTTCCATGTCGCTTGTAAGGGCAAGCTTCATGAATATGATAGATAAAAAACAATTTGATCTTTTTCCAATGATTGACTAAAGTCTTTGTCATAAATATATTTTTGCCGCCTTTTTTCACTTTTTATAAAATACGATGAATCAGGTCATTGTGTTAAAACATGTTTTTTATTGTAGGACTCCACCATTGGTGATTTTCAAATATTTGAATTAAATTGACCAATCAGGTGCTAGAGCTTTTTTTGACTGATTTCCGATAAGTTATAAAACTTCGAACCGTGTACATGGAAACATAAAACTTCGAACCGTGTACATGGAAACAAATTTTGACAACAGTTCTATGAAAGTGATGATGTATCTATACATACATCCAGTACTACAGCAGCAATGTATGTTTGTCCGTCTGTCTGTATGTGATTCAATGTCTCTCTAAAAGACTATATATAGTATCTAGGACTGAAGATATTTGATATTTTTCTGTATTTATAACACTAATAATAACATCAGCATATTCCTGAACCCTACATGTAGGGAGTGATCATTGTAAATAAAATTGAAAATTCTCATTCTTTGTTTTTCTTTACTTTATACACAGAACTACTACCTGTATATCTTCACACCATTGTTATAGCCAAAGAACATGATGATATCCAATCAATATATAAATCTAAAGATCCTGTATGTTGTGATCAAAGTGGTAAACCACACTAAGTGAAATTGTATATATGTACATAATTATGCAAATAAAACAATTTTCAGACACCGAAGAATATGTAAAATATGTACTGCAAATATTTGTGCATATTATATGTAATAATTAGAATATATGCATTCATTTCTTATTGTAAAATTTGATTTAGACTTTTAGAAAATAAATTTTTTATTACCTCCCTTTATTTACATGAAATGTTAAATTCGGTAATATCTTTATAAATAATGCTTTTTGGAACATACAATATTGATAAATCTTAATTTTAGCATCATATTTATGATTCAAAACCATAAAAATTGTGTTACAGGATCTTTAAGATATCCCTCCCATGTTTATTGTAAGTAAGGCTTTGTTACCAGTACCATGAGGTTATCGCTCCAGTGACATGACTTCACTTTCTTGACTGTCGGCACTAGTTTTATACAAGACATGACGATGTCCAAAACTGGGCTCAATGGATGTCCAAAGCTTGGCTCAAAACTAGGAAGTTCAACTTGGTTCATTTACAGCAAATTGGGCTAGCAAGGAAGGTACTTGACCATTAGACCAAACTTCCATATTCAAAGTTCACCAGAGCAAAAATTACTGGAGGTGAGCTTTTGTGATTGCCTGCTGTTTTACATATGTTATCAACATTTTTTTTTTCACAACTTGAAAACCATAGATGGTTGATAAATTCCACAGAAACAATCCCATAAATCCTTCGTTGGCGTTCCACAAAATATCTAATAGATTAGTAGGTCACAAGAGCTAAGAATAAATTTTGAAATCTTTAAAGATCTGGTCAGAAACTATAAAGCCCAGAGTTTGCCTAGTGGTCCTCAAGATGAGCAAGTAAATAGTGGTTTAAATATTTACCCACTATTTTCTTAGGCGTTACAAGGAAATAATACACAACACCAGAGTCCAGGCCATCACAGCACATTATGCTCATTTCTATCTAGTGGGCTGAAACAATTTGACACTACTGTTAAGAGTTTACTGGCCTCCTTTCTAAAAGAGATCTGAAATAGCTGAGTGGCAATATGTATCTGTCTAAAAACTTAAAAACAAAAATATCAAAACAAGATAGCTGGCAAATATTTATTTTTTTTGTAAAATTATTTACATTTCCTGGACATTTAATTTTACTAAAAAAAAAAGACATCTATTTATCACATGATACTGTAAAGTAACTATAAAATACATTATAACATACTTCACACAAATTACAGCAATCATTGGTATACATGTTAATGATTGTAACTTCCATGTTTCAGGCAATGGACTCTTTCCATGACACAAAAATTTGAAACACAAACTATCCTGCATAAATTCAAACTCGCAGCATGATCTACAAAACTAATAAAAATTCATTATATTAAAAAAATATTCAATATAGTTTCACCTTTAACAAAGAACAAATGATTCAATTCACTAAGATGAAATTCACATGCTTACTTACATTTAGATAGAAACCTATGCTCTTTTCCCTCAGTAAAATATTTATACATAGTTCTAAAGATAACTATCACTGTGGTTTAGGGGAACAATAATCTTGAAAAATTGGGGAATACCAGAATGGGAAAAACAAGCCATCAAAAAACTTAGAAAAAGAATATCTGTGTAACCAATTTTAGGGGCCACTTAATACTAGTTTAGGCCTTGAAAAATATTTAAAACAATTTTTCTTTAGATTAAATATATTTATAAACTTATTTTTTCTCTGCTGAAACACATTTGGCATTTAGAATGTATATGAAGGCAGACATTTGTGAATTTACTTATATAAATTTGATAATACACAAACTTTTTATGAGTAAAATAACACAAAAACAATAAACTGTTAGATGGACAGCTCAACTGACTAAATCTTTGATGGTAATGCAGAGTTTTTGCAAAGGGGAGTAATTCAGTTTTTGCAAAGGGGAGTAATTCAGGAATTTTGCAAAGGGGAGTAATTCAGGAGATTTGCAAAGGGGAATAATTCAAATTTTTGCAAAGGGGAGTAATTCAGGAGTTTTTGCAATGGGTAGTAATTCAGGAGTTTTTGAAAGGGTAGTAATTCAGGAGTTTTGCAAAGGGGAGTAATTCAGTTTTGCAAAGGGGAGTAATTCAGGAATTTTGCAAAGGGGAGTAATTCAGGAGATTTGCAAAGGGGATTAATTCAAATTTTGCAAAGGGGAGTAATTCAGGAGTTTTGCGATGGGTAGTAATTCAGGAGTTTTTTGAAAGGGTAGTAATTCAGGAGTTTTGCAAAGGGAGTAATTCAGTGAAAATCCATGATAGAGTTATAGGCCTTAGTGAAAGATCTACAATTATGAATTGAAAAGGCATGAATGATAAATGAGATACAAGACTGAAACTAAACTTTAACCAATTGTTTTGTCGACTTTGCTGCTTGGATTAGCTAGATATTCTCCCCATAGTCTCTTCTCTAAATATTGTAGCTCAGGAAAAAAAATGTAAAACAGATGTAAGCCAAATATGTACTGGTTATGAGATGTGCAATGCAATAAACTTTCACTTTGAAGGAAGGTAAAAATTTCAGATAAAACTCAAATTTATTCAATTCAAAATCCAAGGACAGATTTTAGAAATATTATTGGTGTATGCTATCAAACTTCAAATAATTCATTTTGCAACCCAGCTATCAATGATATTCACTAATTAAACCATGTAAGGGTTCACCAAGATGTAACAATATACATGAACTTAATATCATTCTCACAAGTTTTCATCCTAAAAAAAATTAATTCCCCTTTTGAAGGCAAGAAGCAATAATCATACACTGCCTTTAAGTTTAATTTCAGTATTTTGAAATTTTTGATACAAAAATTTTGTAATACAACTATGGACTGTCCTTAAGTCAAGGCAAAGCCCGTTTTACCATAACACAAATTCTGAAAAGTAAAACCTAAAATATTTTCAGAGTGGAAAGGAAACATTCACTCACCATGTCCCTGGCAGCTTAATTTCAGTACTTTGATCATGAAATTTGGAAATACAACTAGATCTACAGACAGTTCTAAAGACATTACAATATTTAATACTTTCAGAGTTGAAAGAAAACATTCACTCTACATGTCCCTATACTCTGCATTCTACCCTGAACACTATCAACTTATAAGACATACTATAAATACATGTAGCAATTTGGTCTCAAGATTTCAATGTTACAACATTAACTACTACATTGCACAATGTATATGAGCCGCGTCACGACAAAACCATCATAGTGCATTTGCCACCAGTATGGATCCAGACCAGCTTGCGTATCCGCGCAGTCTGATCAGGGTCCATGCTGTTCCCTTACCAACTGCGAGGATGCGCAGGCTGGTCTGGATCCATGCTGGTCGCAAACGCACTATGTTGGTTTTGTTGTGACACGGCTCAATTATAGATTTCATAGAACATTAATGAGCTAGACTGTAGATTGAGGAATGTATATGATCAACAGTAATTTTTATAACAAAACAATTAATAAATGTACTTGAAGTCAATAAAATATGAACAATTACACACATAATGTGACTGTACATATGGATGAAAAAAAATCTATAAAAATACAAACATGAGTCATCGGACATTGTGCTTGACTATTCTTAATGCTTGATAGTATAACAAGGGACTGGACAATGTAAAAAATTTTAAGTTTAAAAAAGGGCCATAATTCTGTCAAAATAATGTCAGAGTTATGGATCTTGGAAAATGACCTCTTATTATGATCTCAAAATGTGTGAATGTTTACATATTTCCTACAGTACTTTTTGAGATATCAACTTGCATGCAAAAACTTAACCAAAGTGCAACACAGACTCCAGGGTGAGTACAACAGCTCTCCCTATTCTCCGAATGGTCAAGCTAAAAATTACATGCAAGTGTATATATGTGTACATACATACTATATAAGTAAAAGAATCAATTTAATACAAAAACACACAAGTGTGGACTCAGATGAAAAAAAAAATCTATAAAATGCAATCATTTACATGTACATGCAAATATAATATACAGGAAGTAAAGAATCTATCAAATACAAAATTACACACAAGTGTACATATGGATAAGTATAAAAAATCAACAAAACACAAATTATTCAATAAATATACAGACTTATAAAACATAACACACCATCAAAACATGCCCTAAAATAAATACAATGTACATCTTATTAAACGCTCGTATAATAAAGGCAACAAATAATGCTGTATCATGTAATTGAAATGTATGATAATTCCAGCAGCACAAACTTTTGTTGTCATTCAATTAGTATTTTGGTTCTTACTCACAAGCAAACCCATTGTAGTAAACATGATTTTTTTTTCAGGAAAAAAATGTATACACATTTCTTTTTTTCCCCCAAGTTTATAAGTTAAACTCAACTTAAGGTAAATTTCCAGCATCTATATGGTAATGGCAGACACTCAGAGTCTCTATTGTGAATAGTTTCAAGTAAGATCACACATCTGCATAAACCTTCAACTACCACCAGGTAAAATTTGAACACATAACAAAATAATAATACTTATAATAATGTAACAAATAATTACATATTTTGAAAATACATGTTCATAGATGGAACTGCCAATATTGGACTTTTATATTTCACATGCATACTAGGCAAATCCAAGTTGGGGTGGGTGGTAGTTGTAACCTACCTACCCCTCCCCCCCCCAAAAATGATTTTATAATGATTATGCTTCAGGATATATATAGCATATTTATCAATGCTGAATCACAACTTGGCATGGTATAAACTATTGGTCATCTTTGAAATGGTCCCTGTTAGGTATTCACTGAAAAACCCATCTGCATTTGGAAATACATAAACACCTGCAAAAAAAAACAACCCAATAAATAATTGATTTACTATGATTCAACTCTTTTTATTGAATGTCAGGATTTGTCCCTTTTTCATCATATCTAGAATATTAATAATAAATTGGATATAAAAAGTCGTGATTTATCTTGTGGTTTTTACTATTTTTTCCTCTGTTTTGGTAGTTGAAAAAAAAAGAGAAAAAATTGACACTACAAAATGTCATGTTATGTAAAATTACTGTTACTATATTAATATTTGTTTTGCCTATATAACAAGCTCTTTTCACTTGATTAATAGGGAAACTACATAAAAAGGAAAACAGACTATTTTGGCTGTGAAAATATCTCCATTTTCCAAGGGGAAAAAAGGCTTACATGGTGAGTAACTTCTAGATATTTGGTTTATACAGAATTCATTTTAGTTTGATATTGTGGGAAGTTATAAGCTTATAGACACACTTTCGAATCCGTACCTGGAACAAACCAACCAGTACTGAGCAATGAGTGTGAAGTTTCTTGCTCAAGGAAACAACGACTTGCGCCGCACAGTGCTTGAACCCATTCGAGTATCGATCATTAGATTACTAGCCCCATGGTTAACCACTAACTAGCCATGCCGCCACTTCTAGATAACCACTCAACCATGCTGCCACTTCTAGATATTTGTATTACTTCACTTGTACATACCTTGATTTCTTTATCCTCTGAACCTGAGAAGAGAAAATCACCATGAACAACAAGAGTGTTGACACTTCCTTCATGTCTCTGTAATGTCTGAATAGGTAACATATTCTCTAAATTCCAGATCTGAAATACATGTACAGCAATAGGTAACATATTCTCTAAATTCCAGATCTGGAATAAATGTACAACAATGGGTAACATATTCTCTAAATTCCAGATCTGAAATACATGTACAACAATAGGTAACATATTCTCTAAATTCCAGATCTGAAATACATGTACAACAATAGGTAACATATTCTCTAAATTCCAGATCTGAAATACATGTACAACAATAGGTAACATATTCTCTAAATTCCAGATCTGAAGTACAATACAATGTACATCAAAATTCATTTTAAAACACCATTATAATTAATTCATAGTTGCAACTGGGAGCCTACATGAGCAACTTAATCCAAAACATTGTTCATCACCTTATTTTTCATAGAAAAATTTCAAAGTGTTCAGAGATTATGTAGTCTATTAGTAACAATAGGTTTTTACAAGTATACAGATGTAAAGCACCAGTAAACAAGACTTTGGCCTAACACAGCTAGAACCATGAGTGCTAGTCAGTTACCACCAGTATAGAGCCAGGCTAGCCCACACGTCTGTGCAGTCTGGCTTTAAATTTTCATCTTGATTCCCCCAAAAAATGATAACTGACAGTTCCAAAGTGGAAGATGGACAAGTCCATTTGAGAAATATAGCAGGTTAAAAAGGTTAAGGTTTCATCAGAAAGACTATTATTAGTTATAGTAGGGTGTAACAGTGGCTAAAGCTGGTATAACAGAGGCTCAAACTATCAACTCCTGAATTTGACAATATAACTACATGCCTGTTCTTTTCTTGGAATCATATGAATAAACCTTCTACATCTATTAGTTTTTAGCACATGTACACTATATTAACAAAACATTATTTGGTTTTATCTGAAAAATTAGTTGGTCTAAAAATTCTTATTTCAAGTGTAAAAGAGTAACATGTAAACATTATATAGATAAGTTTCATACACAAAGAAAGCATGCTAACACCATGTATTAAAGAGAATTCATTTAGAGAAAGATTTATTTTTTAAAATAATGAATGAATGAATGAACGAATGAATGAATATATATGAAAAAAATATCACCTGAATTGATTTATCAATAGATGCGGAGAAAAGAAAACGTCCCGAGACTGAAGGCACTATGCTATGAACTACCCCTATATGACCCATCAACTCTAAAAGATGCTTCGTGTTTTTGACATCAAACAATTGTAGATTGTGATTGTAAGTCCCTACAAACAAAATAATAACTTTCAGTGCTTGAAAAAAATGCCTAGCTCCGAGCCAAATATTACTATGTGATATGCTTCGAGCCTCTTATAAAAATGGATGCGTCAGACACAAATTTTATCTTTTCTGCGAATACCTTCACAGTTTTGGAAGCAACAAACACTCAATTAAATCCAAGTTAATTGTGCTACATAGTGTTTATCATAAATTCAACCAAATATTTATGAAACACTAAGTGCCTGTATTTCAAATCCTCTTAAATTACAATGTAATAATAAGATTAATTGAATTTTGAAAATTTGACCTTATAAGGTGAAGGTCATATAGGGGTCAAGGTCGAATTTCAATATATCACAATGAGTCTCATCCAGATGTATATTGTGTCTTAGTATGAAGACTCTAATTTAGAGACTGAAAATGAAATGGCAAATTAAAAGTGTCAACAATCGGACAAACCAGGCAAAAAAACAAACCCTAAAAACATAAAAACAAATGCCATCAATCAATCAATTTGGGTTTAAAGAAACAAGATATCTCTAGGGTATTTCTTTTTGTAAAATTGTATCTGCATTTGCTTATATAGTCCTTGCAATAAGCCATTTAAGACCATGATTCTAAGTTTTGTTAGTTAAGGCTTGTAAAATGGCACTTGACATTTTGTGATAGAAGTACCTAACCTTAACATTCAGAAAAGCTTATCTATAATAAAGATTCCCTTTAAAATCTTAAAACTGATGTTAACATGCTTCCTTTGAGTTTATTTCCTGTATATAATAACCTTGATTGTTCTATCCGAGGAGCAGGAAAAACAAAATCCTTCACATGGTGATGTTACTATATTTAGCACAACCCCTATATGACCTTTTAGAGCATTCATGTACTCATATGTGGTTGCATTGAAAACATGTATATTCCTGTTATATGTTCCTGTAAATAATTAAAATATCAGTTTATGTAATTAAGATTGAGAATGTATTATGAATGAAAAATGATTTCAGTGACGACTACTGAGATATTGTCAAACAGTGGCTTTTCAGTTTGACTTGTTAAAGAAAACACAGTATGTACATCTCCATAAATAATTCAAGGTACTTGAGTAGAACCATCAATCCTCAAGATTTAGCAAGTTAGGTTTTTTTACATACTCACAGGTGTAAGAAGCAAGTGGTTTAGAAGTCATAATTATTTAAGATCAAACAAGACAGATATGGTTTAAAATGTATATCATATATAAATACAGTCAAATTTGTGTTAAAGACCAAATAAAGTCCACCCTGGAAATAAAGACCAATCTTTAACAAACCTTCAATGATAAAAATAAATCAGAGTAAACTCCAAATAAAGACCACTTGTCTACAAAGGAAATGTATGGTCTCTCCTTTGGGAGGCCTTTTTCCACAGGTTTCACTGTATATTCATTTCACAGCTCACATTCTCATCACTGTAACTCTGGTCATTATACTAACATGCTTGTTTAGAGTTAACAACTTTATCAATACCCGTGAATGTTAAAAATCAAACTCAAATTTTATTTATTATTTTTAGACACTGCATTTGTATCAATTTTCATCCTTAGACAATGGTGTTACCTGCTATAATGTATTTTGATGTAACTGCAAGGGAATAAATGGAGCCAAACTGGTGGTCAACCTTTCCTTTCAGTGCAAATGGTTCAGTTACACTCCAAATATCTATAGTGTTGTGAGAACCACTGTATAACTTGTCCTGAAAATTGATTTTGGTACATGTATTCTTATTTTCACACCAAGTTTACAGATACAAAATGAAAAGTATATATACAAATTAAAAATATTCATTAACCTTTTACCACATGAGCATATTGTGAAAAGTGGCCGTTTTCATTGAAAACCCTCCTGTTACAAGTTCAAACTGCTATGAAACTATGAAAAATGCTTCAATACTGATAAAACTTGGCACAAATGTTAACTGGACCATAGCCTCTGTAACAGCATGCTCAATCTTAAATTTCCAGTTACCATGGCAACAGGGGGACGTCTCAAAATTGCCAAAAATCACTATTCTCCATTGGAAAGAAAACGGTTTGAGTTTTAAACAAGTAATTTAAAAACAAGAGGGCCATGATGGCCCTGAGGTCGCTCACCTGTATATAGCCCCCCCCCCCCAATGTTGCAGGGCCAATTTAACTCAAGGGCTTTTATTTGCACAAACTTGGTAGACACCCATAAGAAGATGTTTCATGCTAAACATCTAAGCTCTAGCTCATTGGGCTTTTTAAAAGAAGATTTTTTTAAAGTTTTTACTATACACATATAGTTAAAAACAATGACACCCCTGGGGCCGGGCCAGTTTTGACCCCAGGGCTTTTATTTGAACAAACTTTGTAGACACTTACTAGAAGATGTTTCATGCTTAATATCTAAACTCTAGCTATTTGAGTTTTTTCAAAGAAGATTTTAAGTTTTTGCTATACACATATAAAGAAAATCAATGACCCCCGGGGCGGGGCCAATTTTGACCCCAGGTCTTTTATTTAAACAAACTTTGTAGACACTCACTAAAAGATGTTTCATGCTTAATATCTTAACTCTAGCTATTTGGGTTTTTTCAAAGAAGATTTTTTAAGTTTTTGCTATACACATATAAGGAAAATCAATGACCCCCTGGGGCGGTACCAATTTTGACCCCAGGGCTTTTATTTGAACAAACTTGGTAGACACCTATTAGAACATGTTTGATGCTAAATATCTTAGCCATAGCTCTTTGAGTTCTTTAAAAGAAGATTTTTTAAGTTTTTACTATATGCATATAGGGAAAATCAATGACCCCCGGGGCGGGGCCAATTTTGACCCCAGGGCTTTTATTTGAACAAACTTGGTAGACACTTATTATAACATGTTTCATGCTAAATATCTTAGCTCTAACTCTTTTGGTTCTTTAAAAGAAGATTTTTTAAGTTTTTACTATATGCATATAGGGAAAATCAATGACCCCCTGGGGCGGTGCCAATTTTGGCCTCAGGGCTTTTATTTGAACAAACTTGGTAATAACCCATTAGAACATGTTTGATGCTCAATATCTTAGCCATAGCTCTTTGAGTTCTTTAAAAGAAGATTTTTTAAGTTTTTACTATATGCATATAGGGAAAATCAATGACCCCCCGGGGCGGGGCCAATTTTGACCCCAGGGCTTTTATTTGAACAAACTTGGTAGACACCCATTAGAACATGTTTCATGCTAAATATCTTAGCTCTAGCTTTTTGGGTTCTTTAAAAGAAGATTTTTTAAGTTTTTACTATATGCATATAGGGAAAATCAATGACCCCCCGGGGCGGGGCCAATTTTGACCCCAGGGCTTTTATTTGAACAAACTTGGTAGACACTCACTAGAAGATGTTTCATGCCAAATATCTAAGCTCTAGCTCTTATGGTTTTTTAAAAGAAGATATTTAAAGTTTTTTCTTTCGGTTGCCATGGCAACCAGAGTTCTGCATGGAATTAAATTCTTTGAACAATTTTTAAAGGTGACCACCAAAGGAACATTCCTGTGAAGTTTGGATGAAATTGGCTTAGTGGTTTATGAGGAGATGTCATTTAAAGAAAAAGTTTACGGACGACGGACGGACGACGGACGGACGGACGGACGAACGGACGCCGGACGAAAAGTGATCACAAAAGCTCACCCTGTCACTTTGTGACAGGTGAGCTAATTATAGAATTTTCAGTGCAGACACAAAATGTTCAAATTTTGACCTTCAAGGGTGCCCTTGACATTGAAGCAGCATAGGTTCTGCACACTGAATAGTTGAGGTGAACGTTTGAGCCACAATTGAAGAAAATCAATCAAGGGATATAAGATATATAGAAAAGACATGAAATTGACACTTAACCACCAAGGGTGACCTTAAATCTTGAGCTGGCAAGACTGTGGTATAGGTTCTGCAAATTGCCTTGTTAAGGTAAACATCTGAGCCTCCTTCACGATATTGTCTGATATTTGACATTTGACCTTCAAGGATGACCTTGACATTGAGCCTGCACAGCAGTGGCTTAAGTTCTGCTCATCACCTTATAAAGATGAACATTTGAGCAAAAATGTTTGAAAAAATATTTCAATGGGTATAGGATTTATAGAGCGGACATAATGGAGATGGATGGACATGTATCTGGAATTGGATAAGGGAAATTTCTAGTGTTATTTTCTTATGATAAATAAGAGAGCCATTGGCCTTTACTCTATTGTTATGATTCTCTTTTGTTCCATTTCATAGTTAGATGGCCCCGATCTTTTTCCGGTAGTGCAGACAGACAGACAGACTGACCAAGCAATGCGACAAAGTGTTTCAATATAGCCCCCTCCACATTATGTGGTGCGTTATAATACATGTAGGTGCAAAACAAAATACCAATATTTTCTTTACCTTTTCTGGATTTAATGCGAGAGCTCTAACCCAGTGATGTAGGCCAGGTATTGTGTGTTTCAATATCAAAGATTTGGATTCCCATACCTGTATTGATCAAAAATATACTTTATTATACATTACATAAAAAATCATCTATAAATTACAATTTGTCATTTCAATAGAAATTATCCATGTGTGATTCTCTTTCACCTACCGTAACATAGAGTTAAATAGTAAATAAGTCAAAAATAAGTGCCATTTTTAGATTCTCCTTGACTGTGTTTTTTTTTCAATGTTATGCATGAAAATAAAATGTAATTCAGTACTTATTTAACTCCTAAAGGAACAATAAGTAATGCTTTCATTTTTTATTATTAACAAGCCAGTCCAGCCTGTATATAATTTTTAGCAGTCCCTTACTGCTGACTACTTTATTCAGCAATATGACATTAAATATCCCTTAAATTAACAAGCAATTATCATAGTATTGCAAGCAATCCATAAGTCCCCTACCGGTAAGAGCCCAAGCAACATTCTGAAGGGCCATTGGCCATTCACTTAGGTTCCTATTTTAAGTAAATTTGTTGAAAAAGTTCTTTTAAAGTGATCACAGGAAACAGTTTTTATGTACAGACAGACGGACTGAAGGACACTCTAAAGTAATTTTTTAAACATCCCTGTTATCAAAATATAACATTTTTAAAATCCTATCATGATTGAAGAAGTTGGAGTAAAAATTACCAATTTCTCAAAAAAAAGTCTAAGTTCAAAAGGGGCATAATTCTGGAAATAGTTTTGGTAGAGTATTGAACACTCACAAATGTTGAGTGACAATAAGAAACATTTATATGAAGTTTGAAGTAGATACATTCAGAAAAAGAAGTTATTAAAAAAAACAATGTTTTTTTTTCATGAAAATTTTAAGTTCAAGGGAGCTAATTCTGATAAATTTTGTGCTAGAGTTGTAAACCTTGTCACATATGATGTGGTTGATGACAAGCAACTTATATTTAAAGTTTGAAGAAAAATACCTTAAGAAATAAAGAACTTATAGTGAAAAACTTAAAAACTTGAATCAGAAATCTTGAAATTCAGTCTATTTGTTGCCATAGCAACCAGAATTTTCAACATAGGAAGATAAAAAAGGATGTGCATAATTTCCATACTGCCATCTACCCATATGTCAAGTTTCATAATCATATTTTTCAGTACTTTTTGTGTTATCACTGGATCCAGGTTATGTGTAAAATTTGCCCATATTTTCTGTCTATTTGTTGCCATAGCAACCAGAATTTTCAAACATAGGAAGAAAAGAAAAAGACGTGCATAATCTCCATACTGCCATCTATCCATATATCAAGTTTCATAAAAATATTTTCAGTACTTTTTGAGTTATCGCGGGATCCAGGTTATGTGTAAAATTTGCCATATTTTCAGTCTATTTGTTGCCATAGCAACCAGAATTTTCAACATAGGAAGAAAAGAAAAAGACGTGCATAATCTCCATACTGCCATCTATCCATATATCAAGTTTCATTAAAATATTTTCAGTACTTTTTGCGTTATCGCGGGATCCAGTTTTGTGGACGGACGGACTGACGGACGGACAGACGGACGGACTGACGGACGGACGGACAGACGGACGGAGGGTAAACCTAAAGTCCCCTCCGGTAAACCGGTAGGGGACTAACAATGTAGAGGTCCATATCAATAGAGAGCAAGTCCATTTTGACAAATTCAGTAGAATAAAACTTTGAAATACTGTTCCAAAGGTTATAAAACTTTTTTTCTGAGTTCAATCCGAAATCTCTGGATTTTCATTGGCCAGTGTACATTCTGAGCTGGTTTCTGACCAATCAAATAGTGGAGATCTGAGTTTGAGCTTAGAAAATTTCTTTATAACCTTGAACCCTGGTTGGTTAGACTCAAAAGTGATTTACCAGTATATAAATTGCAAGAACGTGTTTTGCAATCAAGCTTAAATAAATTTGTTAAAACCACCTAATAAATCTTTGAAAACAGACAGTTAGATAGTTATTTCTTGCATATAAGACAGGATTATGTACTGTTTACACCAGTGCTAGAAAAAACCAGTCTTACAACCCCCCCCCCCCCCCCCCCGACCAACCATGCAAGACAGACAAGTCGTGGATTTTAAATGACATTCCCACCACCATTTTTGAATGAATTGCTTTCTTAGGATGACATCATTTTGCCGTTATGAATGAAGTTGTTAATTCATACGCTACTATAAGAAATAAGTGCTTAATGAAAATATTAGTTTTCATAATTTATTTCCGAAATACAATTAATGTAATATGCAAGAAAAAGAATTTTGCGAGATAGTTTTTACCTTGATTAATGAGAACGATGAGGTAAACAAGAAATCTCCAATCACAGCCATAGCACATATAATATTGTCATGAGCATTCTGAAATAACAAGATACTCTGTTATGGAAGCACATGGAAAACAATGTGATAATAATTTACAGGGTTATTCTGAAATTACAAGAAAATGAGTATAAAGGACATTCTTATATAATAAAGACAACAGATTCTGAAATTTAACAAAAATCAACTATAAGGGGTATTCAGTAATATAAAAGAAACAATGGGTTAAAGGACCCTATAAAACAACAAGACTATGAGTTAAGGGGGGATGCTGAAATGAAAAAAAAATCAGCAACAAAAAAAACACTAACAAAATCCAAAAACAGGCAAACCATGAAGTTAACCCTTTACCACATATATACGCGAAACAACGCACTTTCGACCCCCCCCCCTTTTTAAGGCCTCAAATAGTGAAAAAATGTCCTATTTGGACCCCAAACATAAGTTTTCGTTTGAGAAATGTTGCTTAAAAAATTGAGCACTTTTTCGGCGCCGCCCCCCATCCAAAAGATACATCGCCAAGAAAATTTTGGACTTGTGAGAGGGTAAAAATGACCCCAGGTCGATCATAATGTAACGTTTAACCAACGCTGAAAAGCCTTTGACTCTATCTCAATCCCTTGAACAGTTGCAGCACTTTGAAATAAATTTTGATGGAAAAAATCGCGGCAAAATAGTGATTTTTGGCAATTTTGAGATGTCCCCTCGTTGCCATGGTAACATGAAATTAAAGACTGAGCATGTAGTTACAAAGGCAATGGTCCAGTCAACATTTGTGCCAAGTTTGATTAGTATTGAAGCATTTTTCATAGTTTCATAGCAGTTTGAACTTGTAACAGGAGGCTTTTCAGTGAAAACGGCCATTTTTCACAATATGCTCATGGGGGAAAGGGTTAACTAAAAAATTATAAATGTTACAAAACATCAATTTTTCACCAAAATTAGGTGAAATACGACATGTTAACATGGAAAAACTAGTTTTTAGGTGATTCCAAAGTTTTTCATCATTTTTTGTTAACTAAAAAATTATAAATGTTACAAAACATCAATTTTTCACCAAAATTAGGTGAAATACGACATGTTAACATGGAAAAACTAGTTTTTAGGTGATTCCAAAGTTTTTCATCATTTTTTGTTAAGATAATGAAATGATAGGGTTTACCATGAATGTTCTATAACAGAAAAATATTAACACAGGACATTTAAATAACAAATTAATGATTAATTATTAAATCTCTTATCACAGTTATTGCAAACAGGTTAGGTCACATCATAACTGTTCAGGCAAAATAGAGAGACTTTTTTCATCTATAATTACTGGCAGAAAACACCAGGTGTCAGCCTCCTTGCTGGAATTTAGGTCACACCACAACTGTTTAGGGAATACAGTGACTTTTTACCAATAATTAATGGTAGGAAATACTAGGTGTTGTCAGCCTCCTTGCAATATTTAGACACAGATAGGCACCTTGACTTTTAGGCATCATCCTCCAACCTTACTATCTGACGAGCTTCCTACCTTAAAAGAATTTGGCAATACCAGCAAGACTTGCACTAACATTGGTCAAATTAAAAATAATTCCAAGTCGGCAACTATTTTCAATTCTACGAAAATTGCCCTCTGGACATTTACACCCCCATGTCATGGTGGCCATTTACTCCCTTATCAATCTATTCAAGAGACCAGAAGATTGTCTTCCCAACCATATGGAAGTTAAAGAAATTGTGTACATAATGTATATATGGAGGTAAAATGGACAGGACAGTAAACAGCAAATAATGTTGTACCACATTTACAGCTATTATATTTAACTGTAAATTATGACAACATTTAATAATTATAATACTATCATAAACTTGAAAAAATGAACATGTCATATTAAACTTACCTCAATCATATTTACCAGATTATAATCATCTAGACTCCAGCAGTATACACTATTATCATGTCCTCCTGTATACAAGAAATTACCACCTATACACATACACTGTATCTGTAAATAAATTATCATACATTAATAATCTTCTGTGACAACTTATTCATTGTTTTAAAGCCCATGTCATGTTTTTTTGTTGTTTTTTTTGTTGTTTTTTTTAAATACAAAGACCATTGATTGCAATGTTCTTGCATATTTTGGCACTCCTTAAAACACATCTGTCTCAAAATAAGAAAATAATCTCCTGAAAAAACAGGAATAGAGAAGCAAAACAAAAAAACATTGTCTATGTTACCAAATCTGAGTAGCCTTATTCAATCTGAGTGTTCCAATAAATTTTGTCTGTAACAGACTAAATTTTCTAATTATTCAAGAACAGTCATAAAGGCTTTCTCTGTAAGAAAGTTATTCTTATTTCTTTTGCATGAGTATTTAAATCTGACACAAAATAGATGTGAATTTCAAAAATGCTAGAAAATAAATATTTCTTTTATACATTTGTCACATGTAAGGCTGATAGGAGGATGCTCCTCAACCCCTTTCATGCCAATGATGAGGAAAATAAATGGGCTTACACCCTACTGGGCGTCTGGAAAAAAGCCTTTTTTTTCACTTACAGACTTAGTATGTCCCTGTATAGTTTTTATACAGCCTCTTTGTAAATTTTCCAAGTCCCACACCTTAATACAACAATCTGACCCCGCTGTAAACAACTTCTTGTTTTTTGATGCCATACACCAAACAACATTCTGGTGCCCCCTAAAAATAACAACACAAATATGTATACCATTGCACCATAAAAAAATATTGTTTAAATAATCTTGTGGTCAATTCATGTAGAATGTCTAAATTATCTAACCATAATAATATCTGTCATATGTTGTGGTAAAATTGGAATATCAGTCCCTCAGGAACCCCTGGGTGGGTTACTGAGGGACGAATATTCCTATCCAAAATGCAAACATATGTCGGATATTTGTTCTTGCATATTCTACCATATTCCATCATATTTCTAAATACTTTTCCTTAATAAAACAATTCAAAATTTACTCGTAACTAAATCCAATACATTTAAACTGGAAAGGCATGTTCCATCTTTAAACTACCCTCAGTGTTCCAATACATTTAATTAAACTGGAATGGCATGTTCCATTTCTAAACTTACCTCAGTGTTCCAATACATTTAAACTGGAAAGGCATGTTCCATCTCTAAACCTACCTCAGTTTTCCAATACATTTAAACTAGAATAGCATGTTCTATCTGTCAACTTACCTTAGTGTTCCAATACATTTAAACTGGAATGGCATGTTCCATCTCTAAACTTACCTAAGTGTTCCAATACATTTAATTAAACTGGAATGGCATGTTCCATTTCTAAACTTATCTCAGTGTTCCAATACATTTAAACTAAAACGGCATGTTCCACCTCTAAACTTACCTCAGTGTTTCAATACATTTTAACTAGAATGGCATGTTCTATCTCTAAACTTACCTCAGTGTTCCAATACATCTAAACTAGAATGGCATGTTCCATCTGTTAACTTACCTCAGTGTTCCAATACATTTAAACTTGAATGGCATGTTCCATCTTTCAACTTACCTCAGTGTTCCAATACATTTAAACTGGAATGGCATATTCCATCTGTTTACTTACCTCAGTGTTCTAAAACATTTAAACTGGAATGGCATGTTCAATCTGTCAACTTACCTCAGTGTTCCAATACATTAAAACTGGAAGGGCATGTTCCATCTCTAAAGTTACCTCAGTGTTCCAATACATCTAAACTAGAATGGCATGTTCCATCTGTTAACTTACCTCAGTGTTCCAATACATTTAAACTAGATAGCATGGTACATCTCTAAACTTACCTCAGTGTTCCAATACATTTAACTGGAATGGTATGTTCCATCTGCCAACTTACCTCAGTGTTCCAATACATTAAACTGGAATGGTATGTTCCATCTGTCAACTTACCTCAGTGTTCCAATACATTTAACTGGAATGGCATGTACTATCTCTAAAGTTACCTCAGTATTCCAATACATTTAAACTGGAATAGCATGTTACATCTCTAAAGTTACCTCAGTATTCCAATACATATAAACTGGAATGGCATGTTCCATATGTCAACTAACCTCAGTGTTCCAATACATTTAACTGGAATGGTATGTTCCATCTGTCAACTTACGTCAGTGTTCCAATACAATTAAACTGGAATGGCATGTCCCATCTCTAAACTTACCTCAGTGTTCCAATACATTTAAACTAGAATGGCATGTTCCATCTCTTAACTAACCTCAGTTTCCCAATGCATTTAAACTGGAATGGCATGTTCCATCTCTAAACTTACCTCAGTGTTCCAATACATTTAAACTAGAATGGCATGTTCCATCCCTTATCTTACCTCAGTGTTTCAATACAATTAAACTGGAATGGCATGTTCCATCTCTAAACTAACCTCAGTTTCCCAATACATTTAAACTGGAATGGCATGTTCAATCTGTTAACTTACCTCAGTGTTCCAATACATTTAAATTAGAATGGCATGTTCCATCTCTCAACTTACCTCAGTGTTCCAATACATTTAAACTAGAATGGCATGTTCCATCTCTAAACTAACCTCAGTGTTCCAATACATTTAAACTAGAATGGCATGTTCCATCTCTAAACTAACCTCAGTGTTCCAATACATTTAAACTAGAATGGCATGTTCCATCTCTAAACTAACCTCAGTGTTCCAATACATTTAAACTAGAATGGCATGTTCCATCTCTAAACTAACCTCAGTTTTCCAATACATTTTAACTAGAATGGCATGTTCTATCTCTAAACTTACCTCAGTGTTCCAATACATCTAAACTAGAATGGCATGTTCCATCTGTTAACTAACCTCAGTGTTCCAATACATTTAAACTGGAATGGCATGTTCCATCTGTAAACTTACCTCAGTGTTCCAATACATTTAAACTGGAATGGAATGTTCCATCTGTCAACTAATCTCAGTGTTTCAATACATTTAAACTGGAATGGCACGTTCCATTTCTAAACTTACCTCAGTGTTCCAATACATTTAACTGGAATGGCATGTTCCATCTCTAAACTAGCTGCAGTGTTCCAATACATTTAAAGTCAAATAGCAAGTTCCATCTGTCAACTTTCCTTAGTGTTTCAATACATTTAAATTGAATTGGCATGTTCCATCGGTCAACTAACCTTAGTGTTCCAATACATTTAAACTGGAATGGCATTTTCCATTTCTAAACTTACCTCAGTGTTCCAATACATTTAACTGGAATGGCATGTTCCATCTCTAAACTAGCTGCAGTGTTCCAATACATTTAAAGTCAAATAGCAAGTTCCATCTGTCAACTTTCCTTAGTGTTCCAATACATTTAAATTGAAATGGCATGTTCCATCGGTCAACTAACCTTAGTGTTCCAATACATTTAAATTGAAATGGCATGTTCCATCTCTAAACTAACCTCAGTGTTCCAATACATTTAAAGTGGAATGGCAAGTTCCATCTGTCAACTTTCCTTAGTGTTCCAATACATTTAAATTGAAATGGCATGTTCCATCGGTCAACTAACCTTTGTGTTCCAATACATTTAAACTGGCTGGCATATTCCATCTCTAAACTTACCTCAGTGTTCCAATACATTTAAACTAGAATGGCATGTTCCATCTCTAAACTAACCTCAGTGTTCCAATACATTTAAAGTGGAATGGCAAGTTCCATCTGCCAACTTTCCTTAGTGTTCCAATACATTTAAACTGGAATGGCATGTTCCATCTCTAAACTAACCTCAGTGTTCCAATACATTTAAAGTGGAATGGCAAGTTCCATCTGTCAACTTTCCTTAGTGTTCCAATACATTTAAATTGAAATGGCATGTTCCATCAGTCAACTCGGTCAACTTTCCTTAGTGTTCCAATACATTTAAATTGAAATGGCATGTTCCATCGGTCAACTAACCTTAGTGTTCCAATACATTTAAACTGAAATGGCATGTTCCATCTCTAAACTAACCTCAGTGTTCCAATACATTTAAAGTGGAATGGCAAGTTCCATCTGTCAACTTTCCTTAGTGTTCCAATACATTTAAATTGAAATGGCATGTTCCATCGGTCAACTCGGTCAAACTAACCTTAGTGTTCCAATACATTTAAATTGAATATGGCATGTTCCATCGGTCAACTAACCTTAGTGTTCCAATACATTTAAACTGAAATGGCATGTTCCATCGGTCAACTAACCTTAGTGTTCCAATACATTTAAACTGAAATGGCATGTTCCATCGGTCAACTAACCTTAGTGTTCCAATACATTTAAATTGAAATGGCATGTTCCATCTGTCAACTAACCTTAGTGTTCCAATACATTTAAATTGAAATGGCATGTTCCATCGGTCAACTAACCTTAGTGTTCCAATACATTTAAATTGAAATGGCATATTCCATCGGTCAACTAACCTTAGTGTTCCAATACATTTAAACTGAAATGGCATATTCCATCTTTCGTATTTTTCAATTAGAGGAGGACTTCCTGATAATGACTTCCTAAATGAACCTGTCAATAAATATAAGTCAGTTCAGTAACAAAGAAATCCCATATGTCAACAAGTTTAAATACTAATGGGTTAATACTAACAATATGATCAATTAAACAGTAGATTACATAACACTAACATATACAGATTGTACCCCTATGTTTACATACAAGTCTAAAGAAATATAGTACAATTTTGCATACATGTGAACACTATCATTTTTAGTGGGAGACCACTTTTTGCAACCATGTTTTCACAAATTTTTCTTAAAATAAGGGGTATTTGCACAAATTAAAGAAATCTCCCTCTTTTTGGTGTTAGAACTTTCTTCTTTGTTTATTGCAAATTCTAAAAACTCCCTCTTTTTGAAGAAAAATCTCCCACTTTATCATCAAAAAAAGTTCACATGTATGATTTTGGTTGAAATATGAGTCTGTAACTCTCAATCCAGATATTGTGAAACTCCTAGTTACACAACGAAAAAACACTTCCTCAACCAAAAAAAGCAAAAAAAACAAACAAAAAACGACAACAACAACAAAACCCAAAAACACTACAAGCATTACAAACAATAGATTTTAGATATTTCCCACATTTATTTTCCTAGTAAAATTCAACTTTATTGTTGAAGACCAATCAAATATGAACAAGATATGTTTCCATGCTAACTAATGAAAGTAAGAAGATGAAGTATTAAGGCATGCAAACAGTTTGACAGTTTTTATAACATGTACATTTGTATATCTGAGTAAACTTAAGGTTTGAACAGCTGACAAAAAACAAAATGCTTGCACACCAAAAAAGTTTTAATAATGACGAAAAAATGAATAGAATAAATTTAATGTCTAAATTACTACAAGTAATAAGTCTTTGACAAGATATTTAATTTATATATGATGATGAATATCACTTATTCTAAGTTCTGTATTTCTGTTTTGGAAAGCACATTTACATGCTTTGTTCAAATGATATTTTGTGGAATATTCTTTTCAAAAGAACCCCCCCCCCTCCCCTTATCACAAATATCCCAATATTTTATTTTTATGCCCTAAAAATAAACAAGAGGGCCATGATAGCCCTAGATCGCTCACCTGACTTATCAAATTCATCCAAACAATTACCTAGACAAGCATTCTGACCAAGTCTCATGACAGGTGAGTCAAAAATGTGACCACTACAGTGTTAACAAGGATTATCCATATTTGAGCAGTGCGACCTAGTTTTTTACCCAGGTGACACATATTCAAACTTGACCTAGAAATCATCAAAACAAACTTTCAGACCAATTTCCAGGATACTTGGATCAAAACAGTAGCAACTAGAGTGTTAACAAGATTTTTCTATTTTTTGGTCCGGTGACCTAGTTTCACAAGCGATTTCGAACTCATCCAAGCAATTACCTAGACAAGCATCCTGACCAAGTTTGATGATAATTGAGTCGAAAAATGTGACCACTAGAATGTTAACAAGGTTTTTCCATATTTGGGCGGTGTGACCTAGTTTTTCATCCAAGATGACCCATGTTCGATCTTGACTTAGAAATCATCAAAACAAACTTCAGACCAATTAAACAGAATATTTGGATCACAACAGTAGCCACTAGAGTGTTAACATGATTTTTCTATTTTTTGCTCCTGTGACCTAGTTTTTCATCCGAGATGACCCATGTTCGATTTATTCCCAGCAATGACATAGACAAGTTTCCTGACCAAGTTTGATGACAATTGAGTCAAAATTGTGACCACTAGAGTGTTAAGAAGGTTTTTCTATTTTTAGCTCCTGTGACCTAGTTTTTCATCCGAGATGACCCATGTTCGTACTCATCCGAGCTATCACCTAGACAAGCATCTTGATCAAGTTTGATGATGATTGATGCAAAAATGTGACCGCTAGAGTGTTAACAAGGTTTTTCTATTTTTAGCTCCGGTGACCTACTTTTTCATTCGAGATGACCCATGTTCAAACTCATCCGAGCTATCATCTAGACAAACATCCTGACCAAGTTTGATGATGATTGAGGCAAAATTGTGACCTCTAGAGTGTTAACATGGTTTTCTATTTTTAGCTCCGGTGACCTACTTTTTCATCTGAGATGACCCATGTTCAAACTCATCCGAGCTTTCACCTAGACAAGCATCTTGACCAAGTTTGATGATGACTGATGCAAAAAAATGTGACCTCTAGAGTGTTAACAAGGTTTTTCTATTTTTTAGCTCCGGTGACCTACTTTTTCATCCGAGATGACCCATGTTCGAACTCATCCGAGCTTTCACCTAGACAAGCATCTTGACCAAGTTTGATGATGACTGATGCAAAAATGTGACCTCTAGAGTGTTAACAAGGTTTTTCTATTTTTAGCTCCGGTGACCTACTTTTTCATCCGAGATGACCCATGTTCGAACTCATCCGAGCTATCACCTAGACAAGCATCTTGACCAAGTTTGATGATGATTGATGCAAAAATGTGTCCGCTAGAGTGTTAACAAGGTTTTTCTATTTTTAGCTCCGGTGACCTACTTTTTCATTCAAGATGACCCATGATCGAACTCATTTCAGCGATCATCTAGATAAGCATCCTGACCAAGTTTGATGATGATTGATGCAAAAAATGTAACCGCTAGAGTGTTAACAAGGTTTTTCTATTTTCAGCTCAGGTGACCTACTTTTTCATCCGAGATGACCCATGTTCGAACTCATCCGAGCTATCACCTAGACAAACATCCTGACCAAGTTTGATGATGATTGAGGCAAAAATGTGACCTCTAGAGTGTTAACAAGGTTTTTCTATTTTTAGCTCTTGTGACCTAGTTTCTCATCCGAGATGACCCATGTTCGAACTCATCCGAGCTATCAACTAGATAAGCATCCTGACCAAGTTTGATGATGATTGAGGCAAAAATGCGACAGCTAGAGTGTTAACAACTAAATGTGAACGAACGATGGACGGACGGACGGACGACGGACAATCATCGATCCTAAAAGCTCACCCTGAGCATGCTCAGGTGAGCTAAAAATCCACTGCAAAATGGCCAAGACATTATGAAAAGATTATTAGAGCAAAGCCAACATCACATTTTACAGGAAGATGTTTAGAGGTTCAGAGTAACCAATCCAAATAGCATTAGACAATTTATATGAGAAAAGGCATTATACCATATATGGTCTTATTAAATGATAATTTCAAGACCCGATACATATACAGCTACTGAATAATACTAATATATTTGTATACAATGTATGTTTAGATATTAAGAAGATTAAGCAAGATTCATCCTCTTCAAAAGATTTAATAGTTGAAATTGGCAACCAGTCCAATAATTCTCTAGCTTCTGATTGATCAACAAATTAAAACCAACCAATCATAAGAGAGTTAAGTTTTAAGACTGGTCTGCAATATCTGTTTTATGTGATACAAATGAAGTAAAGCCTGTATTGTCAGAGATATTTTGCATACTGTGTCATTTTCATAAACTTACGATGAATTTCTTGGTATAAATCTAAAAAGAAGCAGAAATAGCTTATTTTTAGTTTTAATCTTATTCTAGCAATAATTTGTTTGTATATCTAAAACTAAACAAGTACTAATTCTGTACCAGAACTAACTTATTGTACCAACTTCTCTGCTTATATCATAAGAGAATAGCAAATAGATAAAACGAGACTGCTGAAAATTACATGAGTCATTTCAAGGCTTCATACACAATGACCTAAGGTCTACTAACCGATATAATTCACTTCCTGTTACCTACAGGGAATGCTGCAATACTTGTTAAAATATGATTTTGTTAAGTGTGTATAACAAATGACATGCAATGTCTTTATGAGAAGAGATTTGGTAAGTAAAAGGCAGCTATCAGCATCCCTCACCCCACATACACACGGCAGGGCTTACCAGACAATGTTTCCATAGTAACTGTGTTATCAGAATTTAAATTCTTTGAACATTTTTTTTAATACATCCTTAAACTTTAAAATGATAAATTTTGCATTCAATCTAGTTTATTAATGAAATCGAAAGCTTTTCACTTCCCTTCAATTTTTCAGTCACATTGATATACCGTAGCATAAAATTAATGTAGGTTATAAGAAAAATTTCCAGCTGCTATAATGAAGCCCACGCTTAGGCATATCTTTTAATATAAGTTCAAACACAAACACACAAATGACCACCATTCTTCTAACAACTGGATATCTCCCAACCATTCAGACACAGAAAAGCAGGTAGGTTAGCACCAAGTCCTTTTTAGTCATAACCCTTATCCATACAGTAACAGAAAATCCTTCTCATTAAAATCTAACACTGCAAAGGTCATATGTCGACCTTCAAGCTATAGTTGTGGAGGAAGACCTCATTATTTCAGGTGCGAGTTGCACCTTAGTAGAAACACTTACGTTTCGTTAGCTAGCTAGATAGCTTCCACACATGAAAGAATCCAAATGCCCTGGGATTCAAATCCCCAGCAATGAGAGGCAAAAGGTTTACACAACACTAAACGACCTGAACCACTTAGCCACTGATGCCCCCATAAAATCTAATAAATTGCTATAAAATCTGATAAAGTTTATACATACTATGTGATGACGACCTTGACCTTGGTTCTCCTGTGTTACCGGGGGAGCCATATGATCTTCTATTCTTCACTGATGTAAGTTGTTCTATTGAAGATACAAGACCATCAAACTTCTGCTGCATCTCTTTCATGGACCTAAAATGGCACAAGTTATATACCCTTAGGTTAAAAACCAGACTTCTGATTGGTTGATTCTAATAACCTTTTTTTGTAATCAACAAATCAAGTCATATTTTAATTATATACCCCTAGGTTAAAAACCAGACTTCTGATTGGTTGATAATAATAACCTTTTTAGTAATCAACCAATCAAGTTATATTTCAATTATGATTGATTGATCATCTCTTGACTGACCAATACTGTCTATTCTACAATATTTGAAAACTTGCTGAATATAAATGAATGAATTTTATACTATGAATGTACAAAATATTTCCTAAATGGCATTGTGACATTGTACAAGCAAACTTACTTGTAAAAACTACAACTAATAGCAAAATAACTAACCTGCAACATTGGAAATTACTTAAATGCTGTTGAATGAACAAGGCAACTTAGCAGATAATAGACTTGAAGATAATTTGTATGCAACAGGGTGAAAAATGTGCAGCCTGACTGAGACTTGAATCTGGGACCCCCAGATTACTGTACCAAAGCTCTACTGACTGAGTTATCTGACTGCTTACACACTATCTCCCCTTTTTAGTGAACAGTTTTATACCGTGACATTATGAATCATCATAATACAAGAATGGTAAAAAAAATAATCTTATACCCTTACACTGCCGTATCAAAATAGTTTTGTTTTGGTCTTACCCAAGACATTCAGTGAGCTGGCCCTGTAGGGATGTATTTGACTCCTCTAACTGACCTACTCTCATATTTAGTGTAGTAATTTGTTTCTGTAGATCTTTATTGCTCTCTTCCAGCTGTATAGTCTGACAAAAGAATATACAAACTTTTTAAACATAACTATTGTGCTAAAATTGCAAAATGGAATTCCCCTGCTTATAATAACTGAAACTGTCCAGTATTAATTCAAGGAATATCATAATTAACATGGTTTGCTTAAAATATACGTTGCTTAAATAATATAGGAGAAATTTTGTTGCACCTTACGATACAATAGCAAATATCTTTAAAATGTTTGTTATTAAAGATTACAAGGCATAATTTATGTACATACACATATATTACATTTAACAAGGAAACAACCTTTTGATCTATACCAGCAGACTGTTTAGAAAGATTCTGTAAACCCCTGTAGCCACAAATTTTCCCATGCTCAGTCACTTCCTCCTGTCGCCCTTGAAACTCACATCCTGTCATAACAACAAGAGTGCCTATTATACCATAATTCTTTTAAAATTTAAAATATATGTTGGGAGTTACTAAAAAACTAAAAATTGTACATTTGTGTAATTGAATAAACATTTTTTATAGAATCTGAGAGTTTTGTGCAATTGAATTAACATTAATTTTAAGAAAATTTATTTCTATAATTACTAATATAAAATGTATTTAATATTTTTTAGGTGGCATTTAAGAGTTAAAGCTTAAGTTGGCATTGTGAGAGGTGTTGCATTTTTCTATTATCTATCATGAACAGACTCAATCAAACCAAGTCTGCAATTTTCATATAATTTTGTTATTTTCATTTCATGGCTCCCGAGTTATATATATATAATCTGCCCTTTTTCAGATATTTTTTTTTTATTGTAATAATAATTCCTAGATTTTTAGGAGTTTCTGGCATATCAAGCAAAAATTTATAATGTATATATCCCTCTTATAATAATAATTTTCACAATTTGCAAACAATCATTATCAACAAAGTATCCCTCTTCATTCTTTAGAGAAGGAAACTCAACTTCTACAAAAATTTGATAAAACAGCATCATACAAAATATATGCTGATCACAGAATGATCACAATGAAAAAGATCCTGAAAATCACACCATGCTTAATATTCTCCAAATTTAACATCTTTTATACAAAGACACATTGAAAACTACTTAGTTTAAATTAAAGTATTTTAGATAATTAGTTTAGTCTATATACAATGTATTTCATTGATAAATAAACCTGTAGATACATGACCACAAATGTTAGAAATACTTTTTAAGAATCTGTATCAGAAACATAACACGGCACAAATGAAAACATTGCCATTTATTTTTTTTTTGAATGAAAAAAAGAGAAGAGAAAAACTGAAAAACTAACATCTTGTATTATTAGGATAACAAATAATTATATAATTATGGAAACATGGAACATTTTTTACCATCATTACGGTAAACCATTTAAGAAAGTGTGTAGAAACAGTTGTGTAACTATGATATAGTAGCAACACTGTAATATCTACCTTTATCTTCATGAGCACATGTGATGTAGACACAGACTTTCTGGTGTTCGTCAAGTTCACCTTTCCTCAATGAAGCTGTACAGTTTCTATTTGAACATGTTATTGGTGCAAAATCACATTCATCTTCATGACTGGATCTAGAGCCTGGATCATAAAATAACAACACAACTCAACACCTTTAACATATTATCTTGTATTCATTGCACTTAACTTATTAACATATCATTTTAAATTTAGCATTCATTGCAGTAACAGTTTTCTCTATATTGTCCACATGTTCTTTCTAAATTTGAAGAAAGAAGAAAAAACACACAAAAACTTGGACATAAAATTGGTTGTTAATGCGTTAAGAGATGACGCTATAAATATATTAGTCTAACAGTAAAAGAAAAGATAAGAACATATTTTGGGATTAAAATATAAGTATTGACATATGACAATAAACCAATTCATATGAAAATTTATGACATTATGCACTTTCTCTGTATGTATAATCAATTACAATCAGTTCATAATTAATAAATGACCTATAATTGTATGACCTATTATCTCAGTTATAACACAATATTAGTGGTTACCTAGGTGAATTTTCTGCTGGCAACCCGTTGGATCAGGAACATATGTATCTTCTTGTTTAACCAATCCATACTTACAATAGATTAATAAATCATCTATCTGACCGACAACAAGTCTGTAAAATTAATAAATAAACACTTAAATGTAGCTTTGAGATACATGTATATAATAAAAATATGTTCAGTAATGAATTTATCATGGTTTGAAAAGTTGTTGGGTCATAGTGGGTTGGGGTACTGTCTATTTAATAACAGTTATTAACAATTATACCAATTAAAATAACTAAATAACTGGGACACAATAATAAATATGATGGGACAATCAATTACCAACTAGTTAAGCACTCTTGTATTGGCATCCATTAGACAGCCAATTTATTGTTTAAATTATATATTTATCTGCTCTTATAAAAAATTATAATGATAAACTTTCATCTTAAGAATTTGAAAATACAAAAAGACTGTTAAATCATTTTGCCACTTAGCTGATATTCCCGCTTATTTACACTGTTTACCACAGACAAAAAAAGACTATTACAAAATTTTGCGTGTGCACCTGATTGGACAAAAAGATAATGCATCACTTATCACCAGTTGCTTGTCCCATTTTATATATGTCACAGGGTGGAACAAAAATGTGAAGCCTGACAGAGGACTTGATCCCAGGACCCTCCGAATACCGCACTGCTGCTCTATCAACTGAGTTATCTAGCTGCTTACACTTCTTCTCCCACAGTTGTGAACTGTAACATACTCCCCTGCTATATTGAAATTCATCCTCGAATTGCACAGAGTTCAAAAGCAATGTTCATTAAACTCTGAGCTATATTCAGTAACGGCCCCATGTTTGGTGCCAAATTTCAAAGGGAGGGAAAAATGTGCAGCCTGACCAGGACTCGGACCTGGGACCCTTGGAATACCCTACTGCGGCTCTACTGACTGAGCTATATGTGGTCGCTCACACATCTACTATCCTAAATAGTGAACATTTTTGAACTGCGACATGTATGGGAAATTAACCCCTCTCTAAAAGATAGATTCTGAAATAACAAAAATATTACAGAATCTAAAATTGGATGCAAAATATTTTATTTTGATTGGCATACCTATTAACCACCATCTGATTTGCATCACATGCATTTCCATCCACAGGACAGGTGGATATTTGCTGTGAGCAGTTTTTACAAAATGTATGACCACATCCGATATTTATGACTGGATCGATATATAACTTCTGACACGATGGACATTTGAAATGTTGACTAGGTTCCTGGTCGAACACAACAGGTGAATCATCCTGGTTTTGTGACATTGTGAAATATCACCTGCATGTTGTGAACTAAATTAATTCAAGTAAACAGCCACATTTTAAATGAAAAACAAAAACCTTCACGATTGTAACATTGTTATGACATTTAACTTTAAACACTTTTAATCAAATCAAAATTAAAACTAAGCACTTCCTTGTTGAATTGTTTACTTCAGTCTGACGATCAAACAAGAGTGATGTCCCTTGATCCGTAATACGGTTAAGGTACGGAATATCAAGAAAATATCGCCGAAATTAAACTTCCGGTTAAGCGTCCATTGTACCGGATTTATGCCGCCAGAGAATCGTTAAGAAAACGAAGTCAAATATCCGTTGCAATCATGAAATTAGTGAGGTAAATTGCATAATTTAAACACCAGCCACTTACCATATCCAATTCTGCATTGCTTTATAATAAAATATTTTGCTTTTGCCCTTTGTAATTTTGATTTTCTCCTTTGTTTACAAACAACACAAATTATTATTTATTTTTCAAAAGTTGTTGTTTTTCAACGTATTTTTCGCAAACTGCATTAATCCTAATAAGCCATTTATCTACAAGCGAGTACTTCAAACCAACCGGTTCGTTTAAAGTGATAAACGTATCTTTATCTTTAACCACATACTAGATGTTTGACATATTTATGTTGGAAATTATAGACCGGGGTATAGGAGGTTCAATTTATTATGTAGAGGACAGGTTTTACTCCTGTAATATATTGAGGGATCTTATTCAGAAAACTGCATAATCTCAGTGAGCGTTTTACAGCTTAATTCCAAATTTTTGAAGGGAAAATAAATTCAAACACGATGACGGCAGATAGGCAATTATTTCAATAAAAAAATATTCCGTTGGGATATTCTGACTCAGTTAAACGCTTGCATTTGAATTAGCCAGTCAGATTTCGTGCACTGTACTGGTTGGAGAGATAACTCCGACACTAAATCACATACTTTTTGTAATATTTTAATTATCTTCCTATATATTTTAAATATTGAACCACCTAAATAAAGTTCAGTTCAAAGACTTTACGTTACACTACAAAAATTATGTATGAAAATGAGAATTGGTACTTCTTTAAGGTCCTGAACGGGGTATACAAAAACAGGGTCTTTTTACCCCTCAACAGTAGATAAAGGTCGCACTTAAATTTTAAAGTAAAAAATGACAGGAAAATTCAGCATCAATTAATTTATTTTTACATCTTATATGTTTATATCTATTTTTTGTTGATGTAAAAAACAAGTTTTCAAAAAAATATTTCCCAAGTCAGTGACCTGTGGGTCAATACATTTCTAAACTACCTCATTGTAATTTAGTAACAAGAACGTTTTGAAAAGCAGTTTTTTTTTTGCCAAACTAAATTTTCGGTTAATTGAAAAAATATTAAAAGTTTACCAACTTACAAAAAATCATGCACATTCTAATCCTGCTCCTAATACTACTAGGTGACCATATGCTTTTTTGTTGAAAAAACGAAAGTTTGAAAATTATATTTATCAAGTGTCGGGTTTATCTATGCAGTCGGAGTTAATCTCTCCGACCAGTATGGTAGCCATTTGTTAATCGGCTGTGTAAGGAATTAATTGCATGAGCGGATTTTATCATGATTTTTCGGATGTGACACAGTTTAATTACTTTGTCAAAATTAATGTAACACACGCTGCCTTAATTGTTTTTTTGTTCAGTCTGAATTTCTGGTGGAACTTGCTATCATGCAGGGTTGTCATTAAGAGGCGGCAGGAGGCCAAAATGCCTGTCTCAAATGCATTATGGGCCACCTCAAAATTAAGAAAACACTCTTTGTTATGCATGATAAAGACAGAAATGACCGCCTCAAGTTCAAAACAAACCTGCAAAAAATGTTAATGACAACCCTGGAGCCTATGGGACAATTTTGATATGACGTTGCTTTGCCCAGAAGCAAAAATACCTCAAAGTGACATCATATTTATAGGTAGTCCTAATTATAAGACCTATACGTAACCTATCTCATATTTATCATTCATTAATCTGATATTTTACATTTTTCATTTTCCATGTTACGTTAGGTCTTAACAGATCTTTGGGAGAATTCGTGTAGCAAAAAAATTGACATTAGACATTGATTTAGAATCTAATGAATTTAAACAATTAAAACAACGTGTATTTACATTAATTTTTGACCTATTTATGAACAAAACTAACACAAATAATACCTTTTACTAAAAATAATTGAACTGTCACGTCCGAAAAGTCATAAATTAAATCCTCATCATTTAAATTAAATTCCTTGTACAGCCGATATACAAATGGCCGTCATAACAGTGCGCGAAATCTTGATTGGCTAATTCCAAATGCAAGCGTTTATAATGAGTCCAAAAGTTTCTAACGGAATAGTTTTTTTCAACGAAATATATTGCCATCGCAACCGTCGGTGTCGTTCAAAATATATTTTTCCGTTCAAAAATTGCGAATAAATCTGTAAAAAACGCTTTACTTAACCAGTATGGCGAGCGAAATAAGACTGATTATTTTATATTTTTTTTTTAATTTGATAAGTGCATTGTTTTGAAAGGTTTTTGTTAATGATAGACCATGCAATTGAAAGAAACAGAAGATAAGCTTTTGAATAAAAGCTTGAAAGGCAAGTCAACAGACATTTTTTAATTTTTCAAAAATGCTACGCGTTTATGAGCAATAACTATTTAGACGTCAGGCTTGACCAAACATAAAAAAACAAAATATAAAAAGTAAAAATGTAACAAAAAAATAAAAAAATAATAAAAACTAATCTATAACAAGTTGGACTAAATTTAATTTAATAGGACTAGTCAATCTAGTCATTAATGTGATGTTGCTTTGAGATCAGGGCTGCAGATAAACATGCATATTTGCGTATTACCCCAATTAAAATGTCTAAAAAACTCCAATAGAAATAATAATAAGGGGTAAAAAAGTAAAAAAATTTTATTTATGCAAACTACATTGAACGGTGCATAATGACGTGAAATTTTAACTTAACGTGTACATCCGGCAGGATCATACTGTTTCAGCTGTTTTAACCTTAAATTAATTCGGCAGCTTGGAAATCTCCTAGCAAATAAAACATAAAGAAAAGTAGTAATTAGCTATTAAATAACGCAATACAAAACCTACAAAACAAGTCTACATGAAGGTCAGAAAATTTGGGTAAAAATCATGAACTCGTGCTTTAATAACCAAATTGGTTGAGGGGGTAGGGTAAAAAATACAGAAATAACTCAAAGAAAATAGAAAAAACCCAATAGATCACAAAACAAGGGGTAATTACCCAATATACACAAAATGTTATCTGTAGCCCTGTTTGAGATAATACTTGGCAAAGCAACATCATATCGAAAATGCTCTCAAACTCGTAGCATGTTTGCAAGAAAATTTTGTGGAATAACATATCACTCATTTAAGAGTATAATAAATGCATTAACATTTGAGCTGTTCATAAGCAAAAGTTAGAAAGAATAACCTTTAAAAAAAAGTTGTCACATCCGAAAAATAATGTTAAAATCCTTTTACTACATTAAATTCCTAAAACAGCAGATCTGTAAACAAATGCCCATAATGTTACGCTAAATCTGATTGGGTTCTTGATTGCTAGTGTTAAAGAGTTGGACTGACATTTTAATGTTTTAGGGGAAATATTCGCCCATGCACCCGCAGCGTGTACAAATATATTTTTCCGTCCAAAATATCTTTATTAAAATGTATAAAATTATACCGATTTCCCCCCATACATACACATCTGTAGTATATTGACAAAAATTCATGGTAACTTATACCTCTTCATATATATATAATTATTTTTTTTTTTCAATAACAGGCAGCAAAAATATAGCTTTATACTCAAATTTAGTAATAATTTTAATATTCTGATGTAATGAGGTACTATTATATGTACTATTATATGTATAAATGTAAAAGAATTTGAAATAAATGGGGTTACCCAGTTGGGGCCTGAAAAAAACAACAAAAAAAAACCTTTAAAAAAAGTTGTCACATCCGAAAAATAATGTTAAAATCCTTTTACTACATTAAATTCCTAAAACAGCAGATCTGTAAACAAATGCCCATAATGTTACGCTAAATCTGATTGGGTTCTTGATTGCTAGTGTTAAAGAGTTGGACTGACATTTTAATGTTTTAGGGGAAATATTCGCCCATGCACCCGCAGCGTGTACAAATATATTTTTCCGTCCAAAATATTAGGGTCAATCTATGAAGCGCTTGAATTAGCCAGATAGGTATTGATAGATTGCTGGTTGTAATTTCTTTTAAATTGATAATTACACTGTTTGAGATTTTTTTACTAATAATTAAGGATGAAATTGAAAAAAAATATTTCATAAACTTTTTGTTAAAGTTATTAATATTACTTAGGCTTCAAATGTGTCCTTTTTGCTTCTGCAGATGTTAGTAGGAAAAAACGGTGCATTTACTTATTTTACAGTTTTTAGTCTTATTTAATAAAAGGTGCCTTTCGATCTTTAGCGAGAATCATTATTTCCATGTTTCTATTTTCAGATTTTTGATGAAACTGAGTCATGAAACAGTTACAATAGAATTAAAAAATGGAACACAAGTACATGGAACAATAACAGGTAAATACCATAACAGTCACCGAATTTAGCACTGGCCCGGCGGTCCATGGCCAGTGTAAATTTGAAGAAAATTGAGTTAAATATATAGTAAAATAAATTCAAAACTGGAATTCGGGCCAGTAAATTCAAAATCTTAAATTCAATGACTGCCATAATATATTCTAATCATATAAACATGTATGTATGTAAACTTGTATGCTACTGTACAAATTAAAGATACATACAAATTAATGAACTAAATCACAACTCATAGATTCAGCAGATGACATTGTCATACATTGGTTAAGCTTAGTTTAGCTTTAAATTGCTGAATAGCTGAGGCATCATAGAATGACCTTTTCATTTATTCAGTTGAAAGCATATCGCCCCTATATTGATAATTGATGACAAACATTGACAATGCACCGATATATCCGTAATCCATAATAACTTATAATTGTGTGTCTATCATTCACTTTTATGTGTTCAAATAATTTCAGTGAAATGTATGTTCTCTTCATAGATAGATGTCATTGTGTCTTGTATATAAATGCCAATTGCATGATTTTTTTCTGACATTTGGTGTCTTCATTGATAAGAAATATATCCATTACATTGTATAACACCATAGTTTAAGACATAGACACCTGCTTCTGTAAATGTTTTTGGCTTGTTTTAATTACTTTTAGACATTTCATTAACAAGTCAAAATTGTGCGCTTTTGTCAAATTTGTATTATTGGTTGACAGGAAAATATCAAAGATGCATCAATATCATTGAAAATATAATTAAAAACAATGAATTATACAAGTATTTTGTAATTCTATTCCTGGAATTAAAGTGATTTACTGCCATTTAGACTAGTAATTAGAAAAAAATTACAGACTGCAGAATGATAAATACCACAAGAGTGTTAGTATCGCAGATGTTAGATAATTTCAGAAAAGATTGTATATATGATTACATGTATATTTGTTGTTTCAGGAGTTGATGTCAGTATGAACACACATCTGAAAGCTGTCAAAATGACAGTAAAAAACAAAGATGCAGTGCAATTAGACTCATTAAGTATTCGCGGAAACAATATTCGATACTATATTCTCCCAGACAGTTTACCACTTGACACATTGTTAATTGATGATGCACCTAAAGGAAGATTTAACAACAGAGGCAGAAGGGATGACAGAGGAGGTAAAACTAAATGTTTGATTTTTTTTTAAAGATATTTGAAAAACCTTTTAAAATCAATTTTTTATGAAAAAACAAAAAAAAGCAAAATATATTTTTGGAAATTTTAATTCCCTGTTAATGGGAAAGAAAATTTTTGCCTGAAATGTTTTTTGGGGAAAGGTTTGTAAAAAAGGGGCCAAAATTTGATTTTTTTTTTGAACCTTTTTAAAATTTTATAGCAATTTGTTGTAAACGGGAACTTTTTGAAAACTTTTTACAAAAATTATGAATAATGGGGTTATATAAAATATAAAGGGGGCAACGAATCAAAAGTGACAGTGGGTTAAAGTTGGGGGAGGATATAGTTTACCACAAAGTGAAGTTATTCCCGTAAAAAAAAAAAAACCGAACACACCCCCAAATTATTGGGAAATTTTAAATTTGTGCCAGTTTTTTAAATTATCCAAAAAAAACAAAAATTCTCGACAATTTAGTATAAAAGGGGAAAAAATATGTAATTTTTTTTGTTTTTTTATTTCAGGCCCCTGGAGGCCCAGGGGGTGGGGTGGGGGTTGGCCCCTGGTGGGGGCAAGGTAGGGGTGGACGTGGTGGAGAGGGGGGGAAGGGGAAAGCCGTTAAATTGTCATTCCTGACTTTAAAAAATCAAACATTATTCTGTACATTGTTTTTGACCCTTTTGTCAAGAGAAAAAAAAAACTCAAGAGTGAAAAATTTCTGTTTTAAAAAAGCTCTGTTAATTTTGATCAAGACATGGTCAAATGTTACCGTAACTGTATAAAAAAAGTGAAAGAAAAAAATATTTTAAAAATGGTAATTTTTTTCCCCAAGGTTAAAAAAGGGACCTTGATTGTAGAAAAAAATGTAGACCCCAAAAAACTACCTTAATGAAACAATATTGATACAGAATATGCCCTTAAAAACCCCCATTTATGTCATTATTCTTTTTTAACATTGTGTATTTTTTGTAGAAAACTTTTGTCATTTTATCATGTGTTTTAACACTTTCATTTTGAACAGCAATGTGTTCTAGATGATTTGTTAGATTTGTATGAGAGGGTATAAATCATGTTTCATTTAATAAAAAAAAGGCAGCAGAGCTATTGTTAAAAGTTGCAACTTGTTTCAGGCTTTATTTTACAGTTTCTGATGTTAAAATTTAATCTGTAGCAAAAAACTTATATTGTGTGACAAATTTGGAAATAAGAAATTAGAAATAAATAATACAACTTTTTAAAGCTGTGATTAAGAATCTGCTAAAAATTATACAAAAACTATTACATACAGGCATAGCAACTTGTTTGAAACATTGTTATGAGGGATCAAAAAATGGCTCTATGCTCTTAGCTGTTTATATATGTACGCAGGAAGAAATCCAAACAACACAGTCCAGGTATTGGAAATGTGTAGCATAGGATTTCTGTATAACAATGTAATTAAGTTGAAAAGATTGTTTTGATTTTTATATTGTGGACGTAAAATTTGTATATAGAATAATAAAAAAAAACAAAGGTAAAACTGGTTTGTTATTTCTTTTCTTAAAGCTGATGGCATTATTTTCCTATAATGGTCAAAGGTCAAGATGAATATCTGAGGCAGTTAGTAACAAACATATTTCAGCTGTAAAAGTTATCTTGAAACATGTTAATATTTCTGAGACTATGAGCAATTTCATCCTTGTTAATCAAAGCAAAATTGGTTTCATGTAGACCTCATTTACGATGAATGTATCTCTCTTAAGAAATCTTGATTTAGATATTAGGCATCGTTGGACAGATTTGATAATTTTTTGAAAGCTATGGTCATTAACAGTGCATGTCATTAACCAGACATCTAGAGGTATTTGAATTAATTTCATTTATGATTATTTCATCATAATTAACAATTTATTGTTCTGTTCAAATTGTGAAGGACTAAAAATTGATCTAAATCCTGAAGAAATTTCAATTACAGAAGAGATATAGATATTAGGCTAAATGTTGGCCATACACAACTTGTAGTCACTTGTTAAGTTTTCTTGAGCTAAAAATTAATAGCCAAGTGGTTAACACGTCAAGACTAGTAATCTAAGGATCACTTGTCTGCATTGGTTCAAACCCCATCAGCATTGCCGTAGTTTCCTTGAGCAAGAAACTTTCATTGCTCAGTACTGGATGGTTACAGGAAGGGATTTGAATGTGTCTTTACTCTTTAAGCATTAACCTAGCTCCCTTCACATGATTTTTTTACCGAAAAACAACTATTTCCTGCAAGTACCCAATGTTTCTATTTTAATTTTATCACAACAGTTGCATTTGTATACATTTTTAACCTGCTGAATTATGTAAGGCATTTGCCCAGCTTTTAAATTGGAAATTGTTTATTCAAAGGATTTCAATATCAAAATACAAAAATTAAGCTACCAACACTAAAATGCCTGTTAAGTGCAGTCCGGCCTGGCTATTGGTAGCATAGGCTAATCATTTAAGCAGTTAGAGAAACACTGCTGCAATGCCCAACAGTTTATACTAGTAATTGAAAATGAAATTGGCCATGAAAAAAACAAAGATGTATGCGACTTTGACCCATACATATCTGAACAAGTCTAATCAATTTTACTTTATCCCTACTTTAAACAAGAGGGCCATGATGGCCCAAAGTTGCTCACCTGTATATAGGCCCCCGGAGCGGGGCCAGTTTAAACCCCAGGGCTTTTATTTGAACAAACTTGGTTGACACCCATTAGAAGATGTTGCATGCTAAACATCTAAGGTCTAGCTTATTGGGTTTTTTAAAAGAAGATTTTTAATGTATATATACATGTATATATATATATGTATGTATGTATGTATATATATATATATATATATATATATACATATATATATATAATATGTATATATATATGTATGTATATATATAATATGTATATATCTAAAAAAAAAAGTCGAGCTAATGAATGACCCCCGAAGCGGGGCCAATTTTGACCCCAGGGCTCTTATTTGAACGAACATGGTAGACATCCATTAGAACATGTTTCATGCTAAATATCTTAGCTCTAGCTCTTTGCATTCTTTAAAAGAATTTTTTTTAAAGTTTTTACTATATGCATATAGGGAAAATCAATGACCCCCTGGGGCGAGGCCAATTTTGACCCCAGGGCTTTTATTTGAACAAACTTGGTAGACACCCATTAGAAGATGTTTCATGCTAAATATCTTAGCTCTAGCTCTTTGGGTTCTTTAAAAGAAGATTTTTTAAAGTTTTTACTATATACATATAGAGAAAATCAATGACCCCACAGGCGGGGCTTGATTTTAATTCTAGGAAACAAAATTTGAACAACTTTGGTTTTGGACCTATAGATGATACCATAGACCAAATATCAAAGCTCTAGGCCATTTACTTTCAGACCAGAAGATTTTTCAAGTTTTCACTATATGTATATAATGAAAATCAATGACCCCCCGAGGGCGGGCCAATTTTGACCCGAGGGCCATTATTTGAACAATCTTGGTAGAGGTCTACCACACAATGTTTCATGCCAAATATCTTACCTGTAGCCTTTGCCAATTCAGAGAAGAAGATTTTTTTATGTTTTACTATATACATATTAGAAAAACCTATGACCCCCCGGGGCGGGCCAATTTTGACACTAGGGACAAAATTTGCACAACTTTGGTATTGGACTTTCAGATGATACCATAGACCAAATATCAAAGCTCTAGACCATTTAATTTCAGACCAGAAGATTTTTCAAGTTTTCACTATATGTATGTAATGAAAATCAATGACTCCCCGGGGCGGGGCCAATTTTGACCCTAGGGCCATTATTTGAACAATCTTGATAGAGGTCTACTACACAATGTTTCATGCCAAATATCTTATCTGTAGCCTTTGCCAAATCAGAGAAGAAGATTTTTTTAGATTTTACTATATACATATTAGGAAAAACCTATGACCCCCCGGGGCGGGGCCAATTTTGACACTAGGGACAAAATTTGAACAACTTTGGTAGAGAACCCATAGATGAATAGCCATATATTCTAAAAATCAAAGCTCTAGGTCATTTATCTTTCAGACGCAGAGAAGATTATTTTTCAAGTTTTCACTATAATGTCACTGTAAATGAAAATCAATGACCCCTGGGGCGGGGCCAATTTTGAACGTAGGGCCATTATTTGAACAATCTTGAGAGAGGTCTATCTACACATGTTTCATGCCAAATATCTTAATCTGTGAGCACTTTTTCAATCAGAGAGAAGAAGATTATTTTTAAATTTACCTATATAGACATATAAGGAAAAACCTATGACCCCCGGGGCGGGCAATTTGACACTAGGGACAAAACTTTGAACAACTTTGGTGTAGAGGACCCATAGATGATTACCGATATATACCCAAAAATCAAAGCTCTGGCCCATTGTACTTTCAGACAAGAAGTTTTTTTAATTTTGTGTTTTTTGAAATCCTTTTCTGGCCCTGTGACCTACATATGCAACAGACCGGAACCATTTGAACAACTTTGAAAGGGGACCACCCAAGGATCATTTCTGTAAAGTTTGGTTGATGTGCAGTCATTGGTTTCAGAGGAGATGTTGTTTATGTTTAAAGTTGACGACGCACGACGACGGACACCGGGCGATCACAATAGCTCACCCTGAGCATTGCTCAGGTGAGCTAAAAAAAAGAGTTTCTGAACATTGGCAACTGCAGTTTCCTCTAAATGTATATTTAGGGCTGATGTTTGTTTTAAGTAACCCAAAACAAGGATAAAGTCTAGATCTATCAGTTTTAGATGCTGTTATTTTATAAATGCAATAAATCCAAGTTACAGATCGAACTTTTAACTACACATAGTTATCATGGATTTTGAATTTTCTGTGTCATTTTTCTGCTGCAAATTTTGGGTTTATAAAAAGCCAGACAATGCAGTACAATAAATTGTATTCTGGCAAAATTATTTTAGTATCTATCCATCTGAGACTTAAGGCAGACTTCAGCTTTTATTTTTTGTTAGAAAAACAAATCTGTGCTGGTTTAAACTAAATATTTCAGTTATTTTATCTTGGAAAAGTGCATCTTATCACTGTTAAGTCTTTTTCAACACAGCGTCCGAGAGCTATTTATAACATGGCAGAGACGTTGGTTTCTAAATAATCGGGGGAAACAAATCATCCGCTTTACTAATTTACATATAGAGTGGACTGGTAAATTAGAGATATCGAAGGTTTCCTAATTGTTTATGAATTCTTACATCAAATATCATTTTCCAACAAGTTAAAATATTTTTATTATATCAAAAACTATGTGGCTTTATTATAATTTTTTAAAGATTTTTCGAGCAATGATTTGGTATCCCATAAGAGATGCTTCTCTTTTTACAAATCAACCTATAATAAACACAAAGTCACAAGAATTGATGATTTAATTTTATTAATTAATATTAGCAGATAACTCATATTACGTTAACCATTAATTGAATAATTTACCCAAGAATTAAATAATCAAGAAACAACATACATATTTTCAACATAAATATTTTAGTACATGCAGTCAGAAAATTAATACTTATAACATAACTAGGAAATATTAACCCCTGAGAAAAGGTATTTATCAAATAAAGTTTAACTATCTTCATGAGTTCACTACAAAGTAGATAACAATTATCTAGCTAATGTTGCGTAAAATAGAAAAAATAAATTAAAATTCTAGGCTATTTTGAGTATAAATTGGATTAAAATCAATTCCAAAATACTAGTAATGCTTCATAAGATAATCTTAAAGGGACTCCACTGTGGTTTTTTGACATGATGGGACTGGAAATAACCTTTTAGATAAATGCTCCAATTGAAGAAGGTCTAGACCAGTCAATTTATGAGCAAAGTTTCAGATATTTCCCACTCTGTTTTTCTAGTATCATTATTCAAACTGAAAAATAACTGAAATTGAAGATTCATAATCAAATCAGGCTTAGAAAAGCACAAAAATAAGTTTTTCAATTTATTTCTGAGTATATTTCTTAATTTTCTTTTGCATATCTTTCTGTTTGAAGTGCCTGAGTTGATCTATCAAAAAAAAAGTCAAATTTTGTGTTTTTAAGCTTTTGACCTCAGTGGAGTTCCTTTAACTTAAGTCAAATTATTTAAATATTTCTGATTTTAATATATAAAATCTATGAATATAATTGTGGTTAAAATAATTTTAAGGAAATAAACAAAGTATTATCTTTGAAAAATGAAGCTTATAATGACTGACAAGTTTGGTGTACACTGGTTAGTAGTTTATGTATAATCAAAGAATATGAGAATATGCCAACTACAGATCAACACTTTGACTTCGCTTAAAGCAGCATGCCTCCAGATTCTCTACTGATTCTTACTTCATTTATAATTAGACAAACATAATTGTTACACAATTGTAAACATTAAAACAAAAACAAACAAAAAAACAAAATAAACAAGAGGGCCATGATGGCCC